CTCGTTGTCGACCACTGACTCAAGAAGGCAAGCAGAGACCACAAGGCCAGGACTTCATGAAATTTTTGCCGATGTTTCTCTCTGACAACCCTAATCCTAAATGTGGCAAAGGGTAAGAGCCGTATTCCCCATATCTTGCTTAGCCCAATGTCAAAGATGCTTCCGCCAGAAGTGTAGCCCTTCTGTGTATGCCTGTCAGGATGACTATCTAATGTTCCTCTAAAATTTGTACAAACCATCAAAGTCTCACCTGTCTTATATTTTCTGAAACAAAACTGAAAACAAATGCATTGCCAAACAAATGGAACAGAAGTTTCCCTCCCTGCTTAAAGAAACAAGTTCTATAGTCTAGTATAGTGTATCCTATGTAATCTTGAAATATGTTGGTGTCTGAACCCTTGCGGTATCAGCTTTGGAAACTGTTAGAAACAAGGATATATATGTTACAAAGGTAATAAATATGACCTGTGTTCATTGACCTTTGAAATTCTGATTATACAGAGGACATGCTGCGTATAGCTCTGCTGTCAACTTCATAAACAACAAAACTGATGTTGGAGCTACTTATTTTAGTACTTACCATACTGTACTGAAAACATCATCTGATTTTATTGACGCCATGAAAAAAGCTCGAACTATAGCAGACAACATTACTGAAACCATGGGCATCAAAGGGAAGAACTACCGCGTGTTTCCTTACAGGTACGCTTAGATCTTTCTTCCTGTTTAACTTGCACAACTGAGAATTACTAGCAAATAACACCTTAGAAACTTGAGTCTTCTGTTTTGTTTAACAGAAGAAAAAATGGTTTTACTAAAAAAAAAAAAAATATATCTAGGAGGAAAAAGACTTATGTCCAGCAGTAATTTATCTTTAGGCTGATAACTAACTTGCTGAAGCAGTTACAGCAGTGACAGTAGTGATGTCAAATACTGCTTGCTTAATGCTTGCATGATTATTAATACACTAGAGACTCTGCATAATAATACACAGACATTCCACAGTAGTAGCACAACAAAACTGATTTGGAACTAGCATCTGTGCTGCTGAAATGCTTATCTTCTGACTTCAGAGAATCCTACCCATCCTTGTAGTCTCATTTCATAACGAATCAGTTCAGACCCTCTGCAGTAGTTACTGCAGATTCTACACGCAATCTCAGGCACTACTATATGGCCACTACTATAGCCGCTTATAGGGCGGTATGGGAGTTACCTTGACTGTCAGGTATAACATTCATTGAAGTGGTAGTAAAGACTTGTCCTGTAACAGTTGGTGCTCCGTAGGAGTGATTCTGAAGCCAGTTCCAGTTGGTGGTTCTTATAATGATGGACCTGCTTTATCCTTATCACAGAAGCTAAACCAATACTAGCAGCTTATTCTCGGCACTAGATGACTTCTGTTTATTTCTTCCCTGTAGTTAGACAAAACCGAAATAGCCCAAAATACTGAGGCATTTCATTGTTCAAACATTCACTCTTACTGCATTTAAATACAGTTACTAAAGCAGAACTATTACCTATCGGGGGCTGAGTACAGGGGAACTGTTCCGAAGTTCAGACTCACCTTCTAATGGAAATAACCTGTGGCTTTCTGCAGAAACAGCTTTGTTCCTGGATGGCTGGTAGGAGGGCTAACCACAACTTCTGCTCTTTCCACAGTGTATTTTATGTCTTCTACGAACAGTACCTGACAATTGTGGATGATGCTATCTTTAACCTCTGCATCTCCTTGGGATCAATATTTTTGGTGACAACTGTGCTGCTTGGATTTGAAGTATGGGCCGCTGTTCTGGTTTCAATAACTATTGCTATGATAATCGTCAACATGTTTGGAGTGATGTGGCTCTGGGGCATCAGCCTGAATGCAGTTTCACTAGTAAATCTTGTTATGGTGAGTTAACGAGACGTTTGTCTGCTTCTCTTTCCAAGTATCGAACAGTTTAGTGCATCATTCATGACACTGAGTAGTCTTTTTCTACAAAACTGTCAGACACTTGGACAATAGTAGAATTAACTTAATAATATAGAAAATAGAACTGGTTTGTCAGAATAAAACTAGTTCAGCTAAGATACAGCAGTTGAAGTGTAAAATAGACGGCATCTGTTCTCTTCTGTGGCAATAGCTGTGTTACTACTTATGGTAGGTGCCAGTGAATGCCCTGGTGAAACTGCTGTAGAACTTGGCTACCAGTGATTAATTTCTACTAGTGATCAATTTCATCTTTAACAAAAAAAAAAAAAGTCTGCTTAAATTAAGTGTTACATTCAGCTGACTTTATAGTATAAAATCCAAGTATATACTCAGAAATCCATATCTATACTCGGTTTTGTTCTAAAGCTGTGCTATCGTAGCTAGTGTCTAGAAACTGATTTCAGTGTTGTGTGCTGCATACACTGTATTGAAGTCAGCTTCCTGCAACACCAAGAAACTTTTGTCCTCTAACGCCATCCCCTATTCTGATTCTTGTTTAATCAGATTATCACCAGTCACTACTAAGCAGACAAAATGCCATTTTTTGCTGCTCAAAAGCCTCTAGTGACAAGTTAATGCTGAACTTGTAACTTGCAATGAAACTTTTCCAGTGAGTGGTAACTGATCACAAGTAGAACTTCCCTAGCCTGTGTAGAGTTCTGAGTAGAGACATTACCATCAAAACGCTGATCTAAATGACACTTTTATGTGTGCTTTCTTTTCCTATCTAGAGCTGTGGTATTGCTGTGGAATTTTGCAGTCACATCACAAGAGCATTCACTATTAGTACTAAGGGCAGTAGAGTAGAGCGTGCAGAAGAAGCTCTGTCTCACGTGGGCAGTTCAGTAAGTATCTTCCTACCACTGTGTGTGGGGGGGGAAATGAGTAGCCAAGTTGGAGCTCCAGCCTATATCAATATCCTGCAGTTATGACTGAATAGGATGGCCTCAGGGTGGCCTTGCTTTTGGGGGGTGGAGGTTGGAAGAAATGATTGATCAAAATTCTTAAAGATTAACCCAGGCTTCTGTCAGTAATAGGGATGATCAGGACTTGACTAATTCCGTATTAATCTGACATTAATACTACCTATTAGTAGAGAACAGAGCTAAAAGGTTTAGCTGAACCAGTAGCTCCAATTAGTTGAGTTGTCTCTTAAAGTGCTTCTCTCTTCCAAATGCTCAGAGGTGACTTGGAAAGGTCTGAATATGGGAGGAGGGTGGAGCTTTAAGAACAGAGCAGGGCAGTACTGCAAGTACTTAGGCAGTATTGCTGTCTCACTGCAATTAAGATGAGCAAGCTGGGGTGGGGGACAGACTGTGCCAGTACTATATGTACTTGGCCACCCAGGAGAGGAACTTTATTGAAATGTAAGTTAAATAACAGCTTTCTTTAGCGTATGTATTTATCTGCCTGAAGTCAAAATCAAACTAAAATTGTTTGGCTGTACAAACTGGAGTAGATTTTTAGCATACTGAGCCTGGCCTGTAGTGTCAGGTAGGACTAAAAGGGGAACTTTTCTCTTGAGTAGGTCTAGTAGGCTGGTTTTGGTTCTAAGGTTTAACAGGGAAGCTGGTGTACTGCGTCTAGGAACTTCAGATTACATAAGCATTTTAAGGAAATGACAGGTAGTTGGAACATGAAACTCTGCTTAAGAAAACCGCATCTTAATTTACAGGTCTTCAGTGGAATCACACTGACGAAATTTGGAGGAATTGTAGTACTGGCTTTTTCCAAATCACAAATCTTCCAGATATTCTACTTCAGGATGTATCTAGCTATGGTTCTTCTGGGGGCAACACATGGACTAATATTTCTTCCGGTTCTGCTTAGTTACATAGGTAAGATCTAAGAGTCTGCTCTAAAATGCACATAAAACAAACAAAAAAAATGCTTAACTGTCTGTAGATACCCATTCCTACATTAAATTGAAAAAAAAAAAAAAGCAAAATTAGAAAATTAAAAAACACCTGAATTTGCCACTCTGTCATGCAAGTAGCCAGATCCCTTGGAAGGGGAAGGCTGGCAGTGCAAGCTCACTGCTACAGGTGTGCTCAGCCTGTCCAGCATGGTTGCACTGTGCCATTCTTAAAGGAGGTGTCTGCTTAGGCCCTCGTGGCACAATCGCCACTAGCGTGTCTCTAAACATGGGGACACGGCCATGGGTGCAACAAACCTGCTGTGGAATGTGGCTCCTGCATGTGCGAAAGCAAGCTCACCTTGCAATCTGGATGGTCTAAGGGCTGTCCTCCTCCAATTGGGAAATTCAAAGGGTACAAATTCTTAACACCCCCTCAGGCAAGTCAAGTACTAAGACCTAAAAGTGATTGTCCTTGCTGCTGCTGGCAGCTTTTGACAGCTGAACACGTATCTGAACGCTCTCCAGTGTTAAGCTGGACCTAGAAAACCAGATTGCGTGTGGTTCTTGACAGCTGCTGACTGATGTGCTGTATTGTTGAGACTTTGCAGTAATGCTCTTCTCTCTTACTCAGGGCCATCGGTAAATAAAGCTAAAACTCACGCTGCACAGGAGAGGTCCAGACACACAGAACGAGAGAGACTCCTCTACTTCTAGTTTTTAACGGTGTTCAGTGGACTCTGAACTGTGGCCTAGGCCCAACTCTTGCTAAGAACTGAGGCGCAGCAGTGTTCTATGACTATCACTGTAACCACCACTGACTTGACTCCTGCACAGATTCAACTAGAAGATAGCAGCTGCAGCTTTGGACACGGCTTCAAACTCAGGAAATGCTCCGTGTGGCTCATGTAACAGTATTACTAAAAGTAGATGTGTTAAGTTACTAAAACACTTCTGTTTTCAAGAGGTTGCATCTTTCTTCTAGAAACCTAAACCAGCTGCATTGCAAGTTGAATAGCTTTTTTGTCAACAAAACTGAGGTGATGTGTACGAGAATGGACTGCTAAACCACTGACACTAATTTTAAATGCAGGTCAATGCAATTTTTGTCTCTATTTTTAAGGGGGAAGCCATCACAAGTTGTAATATTTTTAGTACTATTTGCCAAAATGTCTTGTACATACTTTATTATAAAATAGCAATTTTGTAGTTCAAAAATCTACTTAAATGCAATAAATTAAGTTTATACATTCCAGTGGGAAGAGTATTTTCAGAAAGTTGTGGGCTTCATGAGAGCTTGTTCTCCAAATACTTGTTTGAAGAAGGTGACATGTTCTTCACAGTGCTCACCTAAGGGGGCAAAATAAAAGTTTGTTAACATTGGAACTTGAGGAACTGAGAAGCAAGATGCTGTAGTTTAATTTACCTTAGTTAAGCTAGTAACTTACATCTTTGATGTATTAGAGTTAAAACTTTTTCAACAACTTCAAAGCAGTGGAATGCTTTAAGGTATTTCTACTCCTGTGACAGATTGTGCTGTGGTAAAGCAGGTGCTTGATCTAGTTCCTCTATCTGACCTGTGGCCTTACACCCATTCGAGTTCTCTGTGCTCCAGATTTTTAAATCCTGAAATAGGATTCTGAGCTTTTGGACTATCTGGTGACTAACACCATGAGCAGTTTGGCTTGGGTTTTAAAATGAGAGGAACTGTAGCATAAAACAGGCCTTGAGTTTTGTCTGTGGAAGCAGACAACTGAATACAAAGGCTGCATCTTGGTCCAGCTTCTGGCTTCGGAAGCAAACACTGATGGGAGGTGCCAGCTTTTGCTAAACTAAGTGATGCAGCTACCCAACAAGTTACCTTCACCTGAGAGTTCCTGTTTGGCTTGGGGTTGCTTTACTCTACGTGCAGTGTAAAGAAAGGGGTAAGCCAAGTTAACTTTAGTCTTACCTGTAAGCATACTCCCAAACTAGACTCCAGCTGAGTCTGTATCAGAAGATAGAACTCAGTGCATGTTCGCCTGTAAGTGGCACAAGTCTTAGTTCTGTCAGTACAACAAATCACCCGTGTTGCACTGCGTATTGCTTACCTGGTGTGAAGCTAGGGTTTCCTCGTAATCGCTGATTCCTTTGTTCAAAGAATCTGAAGATAGTGTAGAAAAGCATGTCATCATCTGCTTGTTTTGCTGCGTCAAGGAATTTGCGGGCTGAAATACTGTCATGTCCTCCAATGCCCCTGATGAATCTCAAGGCAGCCAAAACTTGGTGTTTGGACAACAGAACTTCCACTATTTCATCATTTGCCGTGGAAAGCCTCTGAAATCAATCACAGCTGTAAGAGCATGCTCCTAAGAAATGCTTTAGATGCTAGCTAGTCATGTCAAGCTTGGTCATGTAAGCTGTTTGACAAATCTAACCCCAATGTGACACGGAGATACCGCAGTTTGAAATGCTTACTTTTAACATGTCCAGAGAGAGCTGATGTGCAGGAGGGTAAATGCTTTCCAGGGACAGTAACAGACAAGCCTAGGGCAAAAGTAGAAATAACCTTGAAATTCTGAAGCTATTCCCCCCTCTGTCACCAGTTTATTGAAGCAATTTGCCTTACGTACCAAAGGCTTGGAGTCACTGAGCACGTGGTACTGAAGAAACTGATGGAGCATGTAGAACAAGTTGTGTTGGACAAGGGTTTTGATGACCAGCTCGTACAAATAGTGCTGTGAATACAAGAAGACCACCATCAACGGCATGTGTACTGGGTCTGGCTAGGGATGTTAACTTTCCCAGCAGCAGCGCATACAGTGCTGTGCTCTGCACTTGTAGCTGGAACAGCAGTGTTATCACACCAGGGTTGTGTCTGCTGCTGAGCAGCACTGGCACAGCATCGGGCCTCTCTCTAACCCTCCTAGGGGGTGGGCAAAAAGTGAGAAGAGAAACATCACCAGGGCAGCTGACCTAACTCAACCAAAGGGATATTCCATACCATGCGATGTCACACAGCAATAAAAGGTGGAAACAGGAAGAAGAGGGGAGGGGTGGGCTCTTGTGAAAACTTCAGTCCTCCTACCAAACACCAGCTGCGTGCGTTGAGGTGCTGCTTCAAAGACATGGTCAATCATCGCTCATTTGTGGGAAGTAGAAAGTAATTTCTTTCCTCTGCACTTCCACATAGCCTTTATTTGTCCTGTTTGTTTTCCTCCCTTTTTTTCCTTTCCCTCTCCCTTTCCCTTTTTTTTCCTTTAGTTAAGTTTAGTTAATAATAATTAAGAAAAGATTATTATTATTTGTTCCCTTTAATTAAATTACCCTTATCTCAACCTGTGAGTTGTTCTTTACTTTACTTCCCCTCCTCATCTAAGGAGGGGGAGTGAGAGAACGGTTGTGGTGTTTAGCTGCCTAGCACGGTAAAACCACCACAGCATGTCTCAACACTGGTTTTTAGATGTAGAAGGTGGTGGTGGACAGAACTCAAACACACGGCCAATAATGTCTTGATATTCCCTGTAACTTGCAAGAGTGAGGTGCTACAGTTGGTGCTTTACCTGAACTGCAATCTGGAACTGGTTGAGAGAGCGAATATATTCCATCAGGACTGCTATTGTGAACTTGTGAGGTGCTTCCTAGACAAGAAAAAAAGTATAAGGTAGAACTTCCCTCGCTCTCCCTTCTAGTGACAAGTTAAGACCACGCAAACGGAGAAACAAGATGTTTTAAACCTGACAGGAATAAAGAGAGCCTCCTGCTTGCTACTTCCAGTAGTCAGCTCAGTTCAGCAGTAGTCTTACAGCAAACCTCTCGCTTAGTGTGGACTTACCTTCTTCTCTGTAAATACAGAGAGCACATGGGTGTACATGTCAGACTGGTCAATAACTGCTTGAGTGCGGACTGGACGTTTCAGAAGTGGATTACTTCTACTCTGGCCTGCTTCTACAACCTGCAAGGAGAAACCCTTTAAGAACAGCGTAGTCTCGTAGTACAGTTTTAGTTAAATCTTGTCTAGATAGACTGTTTAGAATCAGTTCCCCATTGAAAACGTTTTATTATTGAGCAAACTCATATCTGTGGTTAAGTTATACTGGATGCATTCTGACTGGGGGCTTTCATAATGAAATTGAAAACAAATGTAGTTGCTACTTAGATTATCTTAAGGCCAGGAGATAAATGGGCATGCAATGTTGCAGCAGGTCCACCCACTTAACAGAAATTTTGTATCTGGCTGTGCTACAAGAGCAGAACCTGCTATGTTGACAGTAGCTCTGACATGCAGCAGTGTTCAATAGGTTGTGCAGTGGTATAGTGTGCCAGGAAATCAGGGGTCTGGAACTACTGCAATAATTACAGCTTCGAGGCTGCTTTTTGAACTTCTACCTTTTTTCTTTCTTGCCTACCAGGGTATGTTAGTTGTCTTACTGGAGATGAACTACATGGAGGTGGAGGGAGGGATGGAGTGTTTAGATGATCTTTGATGTCCCTTCCAACCCATTCTGTGAACTTCCACAGCAGAGTGCTAAACAAAGCCCAAATCCCCCAAGTTGGGGAGGAATTGTGTGTTGCACAAGTCTTTCTCCTGTGAGTTTGAGGACTGCAAGGGACTGACCTTAGGGGGAACCTGACTTTCCTAAGTAAAGAACAAGTATTTAGCCTTTACCACATGATGCAACTTGATATTCCAATAGTGTTTCAAATAGTGTTATCTCATCTCTGCAAGCTTCTAACATGGTTTACCATAGTATAGCTTTGCTCAGCTTCCAAGTACTTCTTATATTCGTGATTCAGTTTGTCAAAAACAGTTGCAATCACGGGTAGCGATCCCCTTTCCGGCTCACTGAGCACTGAAAAGATAAACAAACAAACAAACAAAAAACTATGAGGTGAAGTAACAAGGGCTTTAAAGCTATCTTGAAAAAAGTGATCTCTGAACTGTATGCTTAACTGAAAATATTTCTTTAATGTCAGATGTATTTCAACTAAATGGGGGTAGCAGAAAGTTGAATTATTTCATGCTGTTAATTCCTTTAGGGTGGTGACTGAGACTTGATATGACAAAGCCTGTTTCAGAGGTGATCTCAACTCTAAGACCAGTCCAGCTAACTTGTACAAGTATTCGACGAGGCAGTGTTGCACTTTCAGTACAGACAAAGCACTTAAACTTACTTTGAGAGCATACAGCCAGGATAACCATTTTGCATTCTTTTCTTTGGAGAAGGAAATCCATTAGTCTTCCTTTATCAAGCAAGAGGTTAACTACAGGCTCAAGCTTCACTTGAAGATTCCAGAGGTAACCTTGAGTTGAAGGAATAAAATAAGCTGAATTGCCATAGAAAACAGGGATATCCCAATTATATTTATACCGCAAAGGACAATGCAGATTGATTTCCTAAGTGTGGTTTAGAGCAGCATAACCCTGATAGGACTTATAAAGGATATGCTCATCCCCAGTTAGCACTGTTAAGAGTAGACATCTTTACTAGGTGCACCTGCTTGGTCACTGTTTCAAGCTGCTTTGTGCACTGAAGGTATAAAGGAGTTACTGGTTTTGAGTCAGAGAGTTAGGTTCCTTGATAATACCATACGGGATATGTTCTGGATTTGTGATGGAAGTAACACTGATTGATTGATAACGTGTTTTGGTTCTTGCTGAGTAGTGTCTACACAGCCAAGATCCTTTCAGCTTCTAAAGTTGGGCTGTCAGCATGGAGGCTAGAGCCACACAAAAAGCCAGGAGTGGGTACAGACAAGGCAGATGGCCCAAACTGACCAAGGAACTATCCGTAACATATTCCATGCTCAACCATAAAAGGTGGAGGGAAAGCATGAGGGGACTGAGTTGTGGCCTTTGTTTTCCCCAGTAACTGTTACATGTGCTGAAGCCCTGCTTTCTTTTAAAAATGGAATAGAGAAAACTAACTCCTTATTTCACTCACGTTGCACATGCAGCTTTGGTTTACCTACTGAACTGAATCTCAACCCACACGTTTTCTCACTTCTATCTTTCTGATTCTCTTCTCCTTTCCACTGGGGAGCAAGCAGCTGGGTGGTACTGAGCTGCCTCCCGACGTTAAACCGCACCAGCTAGCCACCATTTCACAACGAGTTACAGTGTAGTCAAACAGCTCACCTTCACTTGCACTGATGATAATATCAGGTTGAAAGACAATCCATGAAGATGAATCTAAATGTTAAAGTTCAACACTTATTTAAGCATTGATTCTAGTTGCTACTGTACTCACAAAATTGTACTGAAGCAGAATGAGGTAACATGCTTGCATTCACTGACACAGCCTTTCTCTTGCAAGATCTTGAAACATATTTGGATGTTTATCTGGTTTCACGGCGTATTTATCCACTAATTTCACACAAGTATCTCAAATGACTATGGAATACTTGCATTACACTGGTATCCCTTATTTATAACTGTGTAAAAGTAGTAAAGGCTCTTATGAAGCATACTACTCCTCTTGAAGTGGTAAATGAGCTAAACCTAGATGTAGTGAGTCAGGCTATCATGCTGGCTTTTTCCATGCTTGGTACACAGGAGTCTGACATTAAGAGCACTTAAAGGATACAGAGTTTACACGGAACAGGAGACTGACTTGTTACAGAGGCTGGACCTGCAGAAAAATTAACATCAGCTGAAGAACAATAGCAGTCTGGCAGCTCCTGTGCTAACAAAACACAAAGCACAAGCTTACAGGGAAAAGGCAAGTATAGGTTGTAACATTCTAGCAGTTCTACAGCAAGCAGGCAAAACAAAACAAAAGTTACATGCAGTTGTGTAACTAGATCATCTGTAAGGAAACCTGACATGCAGGAAATCATGCATGTATTCCATCTTTATACTGTGACTCCAAATGCAGTCTCCTACTTCCTTTATTTACATGTAATCGCTCTTGTTCCTTAAAAAGCGGTGTAGGTTTGTATCCGCTGGTAATAACCTTTACTCACAGATTTATCACGTACTTTCTATCAGTGACTTCAGAATTTTGTTATCAAAGAGTTTTTGAGGTGCAATCGTCCCAAAAGAAAAGTTTTTTTCTGTTAAGAGTGCCATGCCATTTTGCCATAGGGTAGGGGAACTATGCTCAGACTATTTCAAGGCATTAGCAAACAACTTTCAAGCTGGAAAATGATCTGCTGCACTTTTATTACAGGAGGGCAGAAAGACAATGCAGGAAGAATAATCTAGAATCATCTTTAGTATTGATGCTAAGCTGATCTTAAACTTGAGTCTAAGCCTGAACTGTCTTTCAGCCTCATGATGTGGCCTAGAAAATTAAATAGTTACAACATAGTCCCAGAGAAGCATGAAGTGCTTTGGAGTACACACCAGCTTTTAGAGCTGTGGTCAATGGGGAAAGGACAGGGCATACAAATAGTCTACAACAAAATTTGAAAGATCTTTGCTCTAATACTTGGAAGTATTATAGCAACTGTACAGCTTAAATAGCATCTTTTCTGTAAGAAGCACAAATTCGGGATAAAAATTTCTTATCAGTTCCTTGCTATTTTCTTTCTTCCCTCATCTTTTCCTTCCTCACTACGTATAACGGATGCATTAGTAGGCTGAAGCACTCTGGTATGCCAGCTGTTGCATTTAGACAATGCTGATAATAGGTTAGAGTATTTATTATATAGCATAATAGTTCTACCTGCTACAGGTATTTGGTAGGGTTGTATTGAGCGAGGTGGAAGTACAAATTGATGGATGGTAGTAGACCCATCAAATTCTCCTTTTAGCTTGATGTCAAATATGACTGAAGTCTGAAAGGGACAAGAGAAATTAGTTTTCACCAAATACAAATTCCCACCCATTTACATGTATTCAGGTCACTTTTCGTATTTTGGAACGGGTTGCCCAGGAAGCTGGTGGAGCCACCATGCCTGATGGTGTTCAAGGAGAGGTTGGACGTGGTGCTTGGGGATACGGTTCAGTAGGTGACATTGGTGGTAGGGGGATGGTTGGGCCCAATGATCTTGGAGGGCTTTTCCAACCTTAATGAGTCAGATTTCCATGTTGTGTTCTGCATAACAGCATCATGTCAAACTCACTGCTTAGTTATGGACTCTAGAAATTGAGAAAAATTCTGCACCCACCTATGATATCCTCATACTCATACCATTCAGTCTTGTTAAATAAACAGCTTACTAACATTTTCACCCTGCATGGACAACAGTCGTAGTGAAAACCTCACATGGTGGAAATCTGCTTCAGTGCCAATGAGACGTGACTTGGCAGCTACCCTACTCAGTGTGGTATTTGTTTTGTAGGTTGATACAGCCATATTTATTCTCCAGCATTTCAGTCAGGCTATAAGAGTTCTGGGTTGAATGTTAACACGTAGCATTCATATGAATTATAACTGAAACATCCACTAATCAGCCTGATATACCGACCCAGTTCTTGAAGCTGCCCAGCAGCAGAAACTAAAGCCTTTCCGCATGTAAAAAGCAAAGTACTGCTTCAACTTTCCTACTGATCAAGCCTTGCTACTGTGACTACAGTCCAATAAATTTTACCCACACTATCACGTGCATAAGATCATGTGTGTTCCTGTAAGTTTTCACAGACCCGGGCTTTCAAACTAAACATTTTTTGTCATAGAAACTGATCATTCACATTTTTGTGATACAAGAAGTTCCCAGGATTAATAATTTAGCATCCAATTTAGCTCTGCCTCTCGACAATGCCTTAAAAACCTACACAATGCAGCGGAATATCACAGTAAAATAATAATAAAAAAAAAGGACACAAAAAGATGAATTAGAAAAAAAAACTGATGAAGTGTTATTCCCAACAAGGCCAAGGGTAAGTTTGAATCTTCTACCTTTATGGTGTTTCTTCCCCTGCAGGTACTCTGGCTTTCAGCAGTGCTAAGAACACACAGATATTTTCTAGAGCTAACATGTATAGTTATGAAAATGTCCAACTTTTGAAAGTTAGGACAAGAAAATATAAACAAATCAGACCTCGGTATCCTGATGATGTACTACCACCAAGTTATCCACGACATTTAGTGCAAACTTTCCAGTTCTGTTGAGCTTTAAAATGTGCATCTTCTTACAGGAGCCCTCTCTATGGAAATAGAGAAGAGCTGGTCAGTAAGCCTGTTCAGAACAGAAAAGCAGAAGTCTCTTACACACAGAACTGCCCTGAAAGTTCTTTATTCTGCTCTTACCTTGGCAAGTGATAGAGGACTACTTCTGCTCCTGTACTATTGGAAGTCCTTGAGTGATGCCGCAAATAGAGAACATAAAGCTGCCCGTATCTAATGAGACAACAGGATTAAAACATTATTTGACAACCAAGAGCTGGGAAGGAGATGAGACCTAGGACATCCTTTCTGAAACAAAGGCATAAAGCCGTCTTACTCTAACGTACTGTTAGAATCATGTTTTAGACTAACAGAGATGAGATTACCTAAGTCAAATGAGCAATTAAAAGTGAAAGACTGAAGCAACACTTGGTAAATCACAACACAGTCTACGCACATGCAAATTAGACATAAGACTATCAGCACATCAGCTCAAAAATGAAATATTCACAAGATGCCTGTACTAATCAAGAAGAATTTCATGTAAGACTCCTCAGTTTACATCTCATCCCCACCCTGCCTCAGGAGAGTTGTTTAGACTCTTTCTTCAAGGCAGTAACCAAAGCGCTTTAAAGCCCTTTAAAGCAGGAGTACTGCTAAAACAAGAAACAAGTGCAACCATGTTACCATTCTTGTCTTCTCAGAGCCTCCCCAAACTCTCCTACTTTTCCAAGGAAAGAAAAGGCTGGATTAGTCAGATACATACATTGTAGCCATGGCAATATCTCTTTCAGAAAGGCTGAGCTTGGAGGACTTGGGTGCTGCAGGTAACTCAATTTCAAATTTTGATAGTTTTGACATTGTTCCACTCTGTTCAACAGAAACAACAACAAAAAGCAGAAATCCAACATTAAGACTTGAAACTGGGAGGTGGCCTTGACTAAGCGTTAGTCAAAGGTTAGATGAATAGCACCCCCACGAGGAGAAGAATGGTGATAGCTGAAAATAAAGATGACTGACACCTTTCTACTGGATCCTAAACAAATACTTAAGATATCACAATATCATCTTGTTATTATAACATCAGCTCCAGGTAGCAAAACATTTCAATCTTAGTTAAGGCAACACAAGTTTGTATGCAAATCCCAATGAAATTGGCTTGGAGATCTCAAACCTAAGTTCTCTCAACTTCCTCCCTCACAGCGAAGCATGTGCTCCAACTCTTAAATAGCTGCTTACTGGGAAGGGGAAAAATACCAGTAATTCCTATCAGTCACAGTCTCCTTTTGTTCCTACTAACTCCAGAATCTGCATTAAACTGAGAGCATATCCTTGTTCCCACTCAAGGTTTCCTCCTCTCTTCCTCTTTTTGCATGGAATTTAAGCAAATTTTCAGAGTTGTTGAAACTTCTACTGAGTTTCACCATTCTCATTAACTCGTTCTTGAGTGTGATATGCAAATACTACAGAAATTTCTCCTTTGCTAGAGCTTTATTTTCAAGGGATTATTTTAGCACAGTACTTTTCTCTCAGTACTTTTACCTTTATAGACTATTTTCTGAACACAAAGTAAGACTGATTTAGCTACAACTTGACACAAAATATGAAGGAGAAGGAAGCACAAAGTCCTCACAAAGAAAGCAGTGAGAGTATGTTCCACCTAGACAACCAAGCGAATATTACTTCAGGATCCAGTCAAGATCCTACATGAGATCAACCCAAAACAAGAAAACCATCTGAATATGCTTCTTTTTAAGTATGCTGCCTTAGACTACCATAGCAATATGTAAGCCCTTAAAAGAAACAAGATGAAGCCAGTAGTTTTGTTCCTCATTTTCTCTAAATCATCCAACTGTACAATTAACTTAAATTCTAACTTTCACTGCAGTGTTTTTCCAAGCCATAATGAGAAATATTTTCACGGGAACCCTTACTGTTGTCCACAGGGAAGAGCACCAAGAAAAATAAATAAGGCAAACCTAGCCCTCTCATGCTTGGAACAATAACTGTTTCTTAAGCACTACATCTCTCTTTTATTTTTCAAGTTCATCCATCCATTTGCATGTAGAAGGATATAGTTAAAATCATAACTGAAAGGCCCTTATTTTTAGTTTATAATACTAGAGAGTTCAAATGCCCACATAGAAATAAAAGATTTACATAAATGAAAAAAAGAGATCTTGAAGGATACTTAAGTTGTCAAGTACTGTGTCACCGATTTGCTGTTCCCCTTTCTCAACAGGAACTGTCCAACATTAGCTCAGTACACTTCTTTCCAAAGAGGACATAAGGAAAAAGTGAATTAATTTCAAGCTGTTGCCTAGGATCTAGCTTATAGATTTTGCTTTGTTCTTCGCTTATTGTCATGTAAAGATGTAAACACGTACCTCTCAAAAGAAATACAGGAAAAGCAAGAGAATGCCAGAATGAAGTAGCAACCTAAAAAAAAGCAAGCGCTCAAAATGAAAGAAAGTGTGGAACAAAGCCCTTTACCTTGAAATAGAATGGCTGCAGGACATTGCCAAGGACAGTGGTTGACAGAAGAATAACAGAGCTCTCTGGACAGTACATGTACCAGTTGACATTGATACTCTGATTCTTCAGAAGTTTTAAACTTCTTTTCTCTGGTAGTACCTGGAAGTGTAAGATATTACCATCATATGAATACCAGAATTCCAACAGCATAAACAGCACATAACTCTGGAGAAGTTTACAATATCCCTCATCACCAGTGTCCAAAAGAGCTGTTTATTCTTTAGATTTCTCAAAAAACACATGCAGAGGTAATTAAAAAAAACACACAGGTTACCTCAGACAATTAACTGACCAATGTAAAAGGAAGCTACCAATTTGCAGAAGGATATCACTATCCTAATCAACGTTTGTTCTTCATTGTGTTTGAAAGCATGCACACATGTTCCTTGATCACAGAATGGCCAAGGTTGACCTTGGAAGATCATCTAGTCCAAAATGCTGATTTGTTCTGCGTGAAGTAGTATTTCACATTAAATTTATAAATTTGTTTCTGTACTTGTCAAGAGCACATCAATCTTGAGTTCTCAATACTTTATTGAGAATTCCTTTATAGAGGACCTTTGTTAGATGCACTACATTACCTGTTAGGTTTCCCTCACTCTGAAAAAAAGTATTTACCTTAAAGTAGTCTAAACAAAAGAGCGGTGCTTTTTTTAAGAGCGTTTTCTCAGTTTGAAAGCTAGAAGAAAATAATTCAAAGATACGGGAAGAAATTAAGATCTTCTGATTTCTAAATGTGTCTAACCTACAGGAGTTGTTTGCATTACCTGATAGAATTCAATTCCTTGATCTGTGATGAAGACGATTTCTGTTGAACTTGTCCAGCAGAATCCTAGAATATTGGCATTCTTGGTCTTTTAACAAACAAGCAAACAAGAACTTTTACTCAAAAAAAGTAACTATTCAGATAAGCTAATATTATTAATGAAGAATGTGAGGTCAAAGGACTTTTAGTTATCCAGTCACTAGAGTTCATGCACTTGGCAGCTGAACACCCAATATACATCAGCTGTTTTTGTCGAAGACTCCCAAAACCATGTATGAACGTAACTACCATGTGACTTGAGCTTTTGGTAGCATGTAAAATTTACAAGTTTATTACGTAGTCCATTTTTCTTCTCCCCTGAAAGACAACCAAGTTCTTCAGGTTCAAACCATACTGCCAATTCAAGTAATTCTTGGCAAGAAAAGCCTGTTCCTTCCAGTGACAGAAACAAAGAACTAAGATGTCCCATGACTACACTCAGAACTCTGTCATAAATCCTTGCTATAATGCTTTACTCAAATGAATAATCCTCAATAATGAAGCAGAGAGCGCTTCAGCTTTAAAGCCCATGAGAACAAAGGAATCTTTGCAAATCCCAGCGTTTAAAAAAATTTACTTTAGCATTCTGTTACCCCACACTGTATTTTCTTAGTTAACGATTGGAAAGTACCAAGGACAGAAGCAGCTGGTTCTCATAAACCGATCATCAAGAAATGAGAAGGGTTGTTTAAAAATACCAGATAGTAAGCTGTTAGTAGTTTGCGTACTCTATCACTGATCAGTAAAATTAGGGCAAAACATCCAAATTAACATGTCTTATTATAATTACTTTAAAAAAACAAAACAAAAACAAAAACACCACCAACAACTAATCAGATCTTGGTTACTTTTCCTCCCCAAACCTTGATATGTGTTGCTTTCACAACATTTCCAGTTTCTTCTAGGAAAGAATTAGAGTGACTGAAGCAGGAAGGGTTGTATTTATTTTTTTTTTTTTGTGGCATTGTTTATACCTGTTAATTTACCTCAATTCAGACAGACAGTAGTGACTACCTATCCCTTATTTCACTTTAATGTTTTGGAAAGTATCTCAATTAGTTCTCTTTTAGAGTAGAGACCAGCAGCATAATTAACATTAGAGTTTCACCTAGGCCTATAAGCTTTGAACGTTTATTTACCTTACATTCCTGTGTATATTCTAGCTGAGGGCTGTCTGGAATAAAATTCAAGAAATCCTGCAACAACACACATGAAACACATCAGCAGTTGCGAAGCACAGAATACTACATGTACAAGAGAGCAGATATTAGATGATCAAGTTATTTTGGATGAAATACGTAGAAATAAGCTTGACATAATATATTCTACTGCACCACAGCCAGGAACTCTTTATAGGAACCAGCTCCATCCCTCCACCTTCCTTTAAGGATGATACCCACAAAAAAACAACATTGCCTGGCAGCTGCTCAGCCTCTCAGGTTGAGAGGAACTTTCCCTGCAGCTGCTGACAGCCACCAAACTCCGTGTTGTTTTTGACAGCCTGTTGACACCCTCTCAGACTTCAGCCTCAGAGACTTCTACTCTGGTACTCTAAGTACTAGAGTTTCAGCTCCAATTCCCTTCCTGTCTGTGGGGCGCAGGAGTCTTACCACGCTTTTTGATGTTCTCTGCACAGCCAGTATCTTGTTTCCCAAGGAAAACTTAATGCATTTTACTTCACCCTTGTCTTCCATTCTATATAGGAAGAAAAAGAATGTGCGTGAACACTGTCTAAAATAGTTTGTTTTAGAATTCTGTAATACACCCTCAAAATAAAGAGGAGACAGAAAAGTGTAATGAAAAAAAACTTTGAACATAACTTTGGAGAGTTGCTGAACACGTACAGGATTCAGAAATTGGCAACGTAACGGCAGTTCACTCTTCAGAAGTACTGAACACATCCATGACAGAAACACGGCTGAGATTGCAAACTAGCACCTGAAGTTACTAGAGCTGCTCAGCTCCGTTGGCCTACGATGGGGAATTGAAAGACTGCAGAACTATTCAAACCTGCAGTCTCGGCTCTGTCCCAGGACAAATGCTAATGGACACAAGGCTACTCACTTCCCCACTAAGATTCATGCTCTAGAAGAATTTCTGAAATTAAAGTGGGAATGAGGTTAACAGCACAGTAAACAAATTGCTTCCTCCACACCTGGGTTTAGGCAGCCTTTGAGTAAAACAGTACTTCCTAACACACAGGCAGCAGAGTACAGAGCCGTCACTTTTAACAGAGGCATTTATATAACAGTTTCATTGAAAATACTGCTGTCAGATTCTGGGGGAAGGGGGTGGGGATGACTTTCAACAAGAAAGAGAAGATAAAAATAAACCAAATCAAATTAAAAAAAAATAAACAAAACCCAAGAAATCCGGAAGTCAAAAATAAGATGCTTGAATCACTGGCATGAAATTCAGAAGCTACAGTTCTCTGCACTCTTAGGTTTACTTCATTTTCTTTAACTAGCTAAACCACATCCTTGGAAAAGCGGCAGCTGCTGTAAGCATCACAAGATTGAATCCCCATAATCTCTCACATTTACAACATGTTTTAATGAAATATTGCTGTTACAGAAAAAGCCACAGCTTTGTTGTTTTTTTTGTTTGTTTGTTTGTTTTCAGAAGACTATAGATTCATGAGAGAAGAGCATGCCATCTCAATTACAAGATTATGTCTAAGAACAAAATAGAAAGACAATCACAACTACTTTTAAGTTTTATGCTGGGAACACAGTAGATCAGGACTAAGTACCACATAATTTTAAGACCTCAGAATACTATTCTAAGACAACACAAATGAAGGTTCCTTACCTGAATGAAATGGGATTTCTGTCCTCCAAGCCTTTAACAACAACTCCTGTAGCTCCACCAGATCGAACAGCAAAAACCTATTACAAAGGGAAAAATCCATTATTTTCTCTGGAGTTCTAAGTTTACATAGGTACTTACACAACACTGTAGGCATTTTCTGAACTGCTGGGCAAGAAAAATACAGAAGCAGTTTGTATAAGCTTTTTTATTTGTTTTGTATAGTCTTACTTACCTAATTCAGGTATTACTAAAAAGAATTACCTAAGAGCAGGGCATTGTTTAAGGAAAACAGCTTGGGGACTGGGAAGGGATGAACCACAACTCGCTGACCCAGGATGATCTTGTCAGAACATGTCAGTAAATAGGAATACGCTAATAGTAATCTGCAGTTTTGCCTGTACCTAAGAAGTGTCAGCTGACTTGCACTAACAACCTAAGGATTTCTTTAGCACAACTGCTTAGACATTTGTGTGTAACCTGCTAGGTATATACTGCTTGTCAACTAGAATAAGCTAACATTAAGATGAAAAAATAATGCTCTACAAACTTCAACTGGCTTATAAAAAAAAAGGCAGATGCCTTATTGTTATAGTCTTGGAATAATGACATAACGACATACAGTTTCGTAATATTAACCACACTGATGGTGCAGTACGCTCATGCAGGAATACAGGTTTCAAGGCTATAAACTGCAAGCAAGTCCATAGTCTCACCATAATGATAAAAAAAAATTGTAAACACTTTTAATATTGATGTAGATAGAAAACAAAGGTAACTTTCTTTTCATTTGTGCAAGACGAGAAGACAGCAAGGAACAAGCTCTCAGAAGGCTCTTTATGTGGGGAAAAGAGTCATTGAAATGATAGAGGGATAGAGATGATTTAGATATACACTGGAAATTAAACAATTTTAGATTAGCAAGAAAAAGATAGAGACTTAAAGTTACAATTGAAAATAAGTTGGTTTTGAGAGGGCTCGACATCCACACTATGATCCAGTGCCTCCACACAAGTGCACTTCCACGCTCATATTTCAACTGTCCCTTGAAACATACATTAAGTATAATGGTTTATAGAGAAAAAGGACCCCAATAAGCCTGAATACGGAACAGCAGCAATAAATTCATAACAAAAATGTTGCACACACACACCCTGTGCCATTTGTATGGGGAAGAAAGCCTGCACATTTCAAGGCTGCCAAGGCTGAAGTTGCAGGGTGGTTACAGCAACCAGCCAGCCACCAGCATCAGGTCAGGCTGGGGCCCTTTTACCCACACGGAGCTGGCCGTAGGGAAACCCACGGGGATATTTGGGAGAAGCACGCTTAAAAGAACGAAAGGCAAGAAACGCACAGCAAAGCGGCTGGTCAAGAGCCACAAGAAAAGGTACAGATGTTATGACGTGAGGGCATACGGAGGTTTAGGAAATGAAAAACGCAGCTCATCGAGGAACTCCGGAACACCCTCACAGCAGGGAGGGCGGTAACAAGGGATTAGCAAAATAAATTCCCAAATTCCCCCCGGCCCGCAGCGCCGCGGCAGGTGCCGGCGGCCAAATCCCCACAGGAGCCCCACAGCGAGCGGCGGCCGCGGGCTCAGCCGCCAAACCAAGAAACTAAAGGGGGGAAAAAAATATTAAAAAAGGGACCAAAATAAATAAAAAGGGCGTCAGGAAAGCCCGCCGCCGCACCCACCTGCTTGTTGGCCTCGTCGAAGAAGACGCAGTTGACGGGGTTGGCCTTCTCGAAGTGCACGGGCCGGCCGCACAGCGCCAGGTAGCAGCCGCCGCCACCGCCCCGGCTCTCGCCGCCGCCGCCGCCATCTTCTGCCCCCGTCGCCCCGTCCTCCTCCTCCCCCCCCGGCGGCTGCTCGCGGCTCATGGCGGCCGCACCAACGGTCCCCAACGGTCCCCGACGCCCCCGGCCGGCCGGGCGGCCGCTTCCTGTTTACACCGCCCGGCCGCATGACGCGGGAGCGGCCCGCCTCACGGGCGGTGCTGCCGCCATCTTGGGGGGGGAGTGAGGGGGGGCTGTGAGGGGCCGCCTCTGCCTCAGGTGCGGAGCGTGCTCAAGCGTTTTTTCTGTGTTTTTGTGTTTTTGTTTTTACCATCCTCCTACCACAAATGTCACCTACTAAACCATGTCCCCAAGCACCACGTCCAACCTCTCCTTGAACACCCCCAGGGACGGTGCCTCCACCGCCTCCCTGGGCAACCCGTCCCAGTGCCTGACTGCTCTTCCTGAGGAGAAATGCCTCCTCATTTCCAGCCTGAACCTCCCTGGCACAACTTGAGGCCATTCCCTCTAGTCCTATCACTAGTAGTCTCAAAGAAAATTGAGACTGAGCAAATTTTACTGCAGGACATTCAGGCAATACAATCAGGCCCTCTAGCTTCAATTCACAGGCTCAAGGACCATCACTTCATTTTTTTATATTTTATTTTTAAATCTGTCCAAGGCAGATTCTAGTAAGAAATTAAAAACAGACATACCAACTGAGGCTTCTACTCAAGCACAACAGAACAAGTCTCCTGCTTCAAAATGACATCTCAAAAAACACAACCCTGCTTTCCAGTTATTTGTGCTCTCTTCCTCTCGCTTCCAGTGCAAACATCCCTACGGATCTAACATCCTTCCTTGACAAGAATGCTGTAACGTCGTAGATAGCTGCTTTGAGAGAAATGTTTGTTTCCCTAAGAAATACTGGGAGTACTTAGACTTTTAATAAGTCTAGAATATGAATATTTTTCTTTTTAAATACCTTATCCTCTGAATGCTCTGAGGAAGGTTGGGTTGTATGTGCCAACAGCAGGCTCCAGTCTTCCTGAAGGTGTTGGATAACTGTGGCACTCCACATCAGTACATAATTCTGTTCATTCCCTGATGTCTTTATTTTGGGCAACAGTTTCACTGAGAGGTGAAGACATATCCACAACACATAAGCTGCTTTACTTACAAAAGTCAGGGGTAAAAGCCAGAAGATTGGCACAAATTTATAAAGAAAAAAAAAAAAAAGGATCCAAATACCTCCAATGCAACTGGCCAAATAAAAAAAAAAAAGTCAAAGTTATTTACTGTTTATGTAGCGCCCATGAAAATAGTCATTTTTCTGTTGTTAAACTTGAAGAGAGTACTCCCTAACACTGGTTTAGCATAGCACTGAGGATCGGCGATGGCCAGTACGATGCAAAGAACCACACAAGAACGCCACTGCAAGATCTAAAGTTTTTACTTCATCACCAGTTCTCCAATTATTAAAAAGAAAACCAAATCACTTTCACAGCACACTGGGAGAAATGTCACATGTAGCAACACAATATTCTGCTTGATAGAACAGCACCAGAAACAGCAATTTAAAAAGTTGATCCAAACTTCTTAATTCCAAACCACCCAACTAGATCAGTTCATCTTTAAATGTGCTGGAGGGAAAACATTGCTAGACTTGCTAAAATAAGAAGACTGGCATTAAGAATAAAAGCATGGAAGAAAGATGAATCGACTTTTCTCTTTTCCAATAGTAATCAAAAAGCTTAACTTAAAAGTAATTCTGATCAGTATTTAGTTTTCATAAGTGTACGATTATCTTCTACATGAGTAAGAAGGTTTGGTGCTCTACCCAGATTTTCAGTGCAGATGCAAAGGTTTGAGTGTTTGTTTTCTTGACTTGCACTGAGTTCTTGGAACTACTTGTATATTAAGATTGAAAGCAACTGATTTTACTCTTTGTTATGCATCTTGGATGCAGCTCTCAGGACTTCCAGCATATCGCTAAAGAAGTCCTCTGCAGGTTGGATTCAGATCAGTTTCTCATAATACCGAATTGTATTCACAGAGACAGTTAGAGCCAGACTCCACATACTTTTAATGAAAAGGTCCAGACTTTTCTTTCCATGTATAGACGTTGTTGTGTTAAATTAACAGTTTCATGATTACAGCACAGTTTGACTTTTCATTTTGCCCTGGGTGAAGGATGAAAGGCTCATTGACATGGTTGCCATACACAATTTTTTGTTTTTCAAGTCGCAAAAGGGAAAAAAGGGGGACTCTTTTTTGAGTCTGCTTTCTCACTAACTGGTTTAGTTGATCTAAACTTTTTTTTTTTTTTTTTAAGTATAACATATAAGCTCTGAATGACACAAAATGTGACCACCTCACCCACGTTAGCCTAATGTAACCAGACAACTGGTGAAGCTGTCAGACCATCCCAAGTAGTGACATTCCATTCCCGCAGTGCCAGCCTGACGTGTGGGCTAAATTAAAAACAAAAATCAAACAAGAAAAAACAAAACACTGAGGCATCACCATACGCTCACTGTGTTTTCCATTTTGGCATTCCCAGTCAACCACTCTCTCTTGACATCGGCAGTTGACATTTACCACTGCACTAACATAGTCAGAAGCAGCATATCCGTGTTGGTTTCTCGTGGTTTTGTTTTTTGTTTTTTTCTTAAAAGCAGCTATACAGCCAGTGCTATTCATCATAAATAGGTGGGTCTCCATCACTTGAAAACGTGGACACTTTCTTTCCATGATTCTGCACGTGATCTTCATTTCTCTTCTCCAAAGCTTCAATCTAGAAAGCCAAAAAAAATAGAAAAAAAAACATACTGAAATCATAAAGCCAAGCTGTGCCTGAATGTTCCTAAATAGTGTTAAAACGTACCTTTAGATGACTGATCAGGTATATACAATAATTTTATTTTAATGATTCTGTCACATGTGGTGCAATATACTTGGGAAATACAGCTTGAAACATCTGTTCTCAAAAAATTAGTAAAAGGAGCAGCGCTCTTTTGCAGCTTCATGCTATATAACGACTGAAATGCATGAGCTGCAGGGAAGACAGAAGATTCTTAGGACTCCTGGTGTACTCCCCAAAGTACAAAAGCATCCCTTTATCCAACTCTGATCAACTCCGCTGTAATTCAGCCAATCCACCAACACTGGAGGAATTCCAAGTGATATTAAGATTACAAAGCCACTGTAGTCGTTGTCAGCGGTGACAGTAGAAGACAGTTATACTTAAACATTTTGTGCAATCCAAGTAATGCAGTCCTGTAGTTTACTTTAATCTTCAAATTGTTATGTTTGGAATACTTCCTCTTGTACTCCAAGGGAGGTAATTGTAGTTACTAAAGTCAAAGCCTGAAGTTTAAGGATGGGTGGCTCAACTTCACCGATACACAAACAGTGTGTCTTTCCCATAAAACCCGTAGGCAAAAAGATGACATTGAACCTACACACACACCTAAGCTCACAACACAGTCAGCGAGGCAATTTTTGTTTTGTTTAATAAATTCATCTTGGAAAGTCTAAGAAACCCTCATGACTATTTCACTTTGTGTTTCCTTTACCCCTTGATCAGTTTGAGGACCTGTTCCCCAAGTCAAATGTTCCAAACCTGCTACACACTGGACTTGCATAAACCTGTGCTGTTATTAAGATTTGAGTAGAATTGCCATACAGCCCTTACTTTAACCAGTAGATGTGGAATTTTTAGTTAACTTCAAAGTATTTGGTAACAGGACTCATGCCTTGAAGAGGCACAGCCAAAATTTGAACATTAAAAGCAAAAGGTGACCAAAGATTCCTATTTAGATTAGCATGGATTCAGACGTCTGAGGTCACGCTTAAACATCGAAAATGCTAGGCTATAAATTTTAAATTTAAGGAAGTAAAACCCTTAAACATTAACAATAAGCAGAAGTTTATTTATTTATTTTAAAACAACTCTCCTTTCTCTGTGTAACCTTTAGTATATGTAAGGAAAGACAACAACGCTAGCTTTTACATTAAAATAGATCACTACATTTCCCTTCACACTGAAAGGAGCAATTACATGCAACGTGGACCTTTCATACGTGGGAGCAGGGCATCAGGAATGGGACAGGGAGGTCTGTGAATCTGAGTTTCTGAAAAATGTTTGTATGAGGAAGAAATAATGAAGTTTTAGAAGGGGGATGGATGCAGAGTAATTGCTGAAATTAGACTCGTATTAATCATACAAACTGAACTTGGAAAGTTAAGGTATTGCAATAGCTACTCGCTAACCAAATCAAGATGTTAAACACGGAAAGTTGTACCTCTTCTATGAAGTCTACTTCGTTGTCAGCTGTAATATTTAAACCTGAGACAGCGTTGAAGAGCTCACGCTCATTAAGTGCTTCTGCCACACCTCCTTTCTGGAAGAACTAGGCAACATAAAAAGGAGACATTAAACACTTTACAAAACAAAATACTCCTTTTTCTTCCACAAATTACAACTTAAGTTTTTAGTCAAAATGACATTTTTGCTTTTTGTTTGGTAGCAACCAAGAGAAGCTCTATTTTCTACTGGTACTGTATTATTCTTCCATACTTCTTCCTTTTCAGAGAAGAACACCATCAGTATGGACAACATGCAAGAATAATCCTACACATTTCCAGCCACAACCATTTTTTTTGGAGTTGTGTTGGTTGATTTTAAATTAGTTCTGAATTTCAATGATGCTGTTTCAACATTGGAAAAACACTCAGCGTAACAGACGATCATCAGACAAAGAGGTCCTACCTGTGAAACATTCCTACAGTCTCTGAACAAAAACTCAAGTCCGTGAGGATGGGTGGGCTCCACAGACTGACTGACATCGATAAGCCAAACCTGAAGGCGGAGACAGCAATTTGTTTTGTGTTAACATTTCACATCGGATTAAACCTTTCCTTCCCACTTTAAAAATACCCTCACCTTGCCGTCATGCCAAAGCATGTTGTATTCACTCAGATCTGCATGGACCAGGTTGCACTCTTTATACAACTGCTGCATCATCTGCAAGGAACAAAATGAATGCGTGAATCAAGTGTGCTAAGTGTGCTATTCCCAATGATAACATTTGCAGGGTGAGCACAACAAAGTGTTTCCCCACCCACCATTTACATTATTTCTTCCAAATCTTCAGTGAAGCTTCACAGGGAACTACAGTTTTGGTAAGCTGCCAGCAAACGAAGCTTTTATCACTGAGCTTAGTTTTGGCAAGCGAGAAGAATCAGTCTCGTAAACTCACGTCAACTCTGCCAGCAGTCCAAGTGCATGAGAGAGATAAACGTGTTCTCTAAAAATACCTGTCACTCTTACCCCCATCTCACAGGGGGAAAAAAAAGTCTCAGTTTTAGATGACAAATCCTAATTAATATCCATATTTGGTTCATTTAAAACATTGTTGTGTTGCTCTACTGATCTCAAGATTTGATGTACAGACCATTCACAGCACCAAGCTGCTGGGGGCAGGGGGTGTTGTTGTTTTGTTTGCTTGTTTGTTTATGACCATGGGAAGCTAATGGAGAGCACACACTTAGCAGGTATGCATCTGAAACAATTACAGTAGGAAACAGGAATTAGAACATTGCACCATGCAATATTCTAATTCCTTCTCTGAGTACTACACTAGTTAAAAAAAACAAAAACACAACAAAACAAAACAAAAAAAAAAACAGGGGAGGGAGGTTTATTCACCAAAGTGTGTTTAAACATTGTAAATTAAGTATTCTATAAACCCAGAAGGACTTCAGAGAACTTTCTAAGCCAATTACTGGTTCTGTAAAAGGAGGACTACTTGCTAATGACTTCCCTGCTATCAAGTATCCTTTCTGTCACCAAGTTCCAGCATGTTTTCTACTAGATTAAGATTATTTATTTGTATTATTTCTAGTGCTTAATTTCTCATTTATTCTAAGTCACTCATTAAACAGCAGTAAAATAAGCCTTTGGACTCCATACTTTGAAGCTGATGCAAGCATCCTGAAAAGTAAATAAATGCTGATTTGTCCTGTAAGTTATTTACCCAAAAGAAAAGTACAACCCAGAATTGGAGGAGAAATCAGCACAGGCTTACGTTAAGAGTCTGATAGTAGGCCTTTTTCATATCTTCACTATTAAGTTTTACATCCTTTAGTTTAGGAGCTGGGACTTGATCCTGGCCAATGAAAGACATAACCAAGATGTGTTTCTTAAGGATAACCACTTGAGGACAAGGAATTCCTGCATTTTGCATTCTGTGAATCAAAAAATAGATACTGATTAAGAAAGAAACACCAAAAACAAAAAAGTAAAATTAAAAACCTAAAGTTCTAGTTCCTGCTTGCTCATTTCCAAGCTGTGTGTGAAGAACTTGATCCATTTCTTTGAAATAGACCAAACTGGTAGTTGATTTTATATAGACATATTCCCCCCTCTCTATTTCAGATTGGATAATTCAGACTTTAAAGCCATAAGCAGGCCTAAAAACGCTAATGGAAAACTAGTAACTTTTACAGCTAGAGCCTGGTAACTTCATGGTCTTATAAATTCTGCTGCCAAATCCCTGAAGATGTTGACAATTCATTAAATTGTAAGAAATCAGAGGGTATGCTAAAAACAGAGAAGAGGAAACCAACAGGCATTTGACTGTTTTTTTTTTTTTTTTACCTTGTTAAGTTATGCATTTCTTTCTCAGCCCACATACGAATAATCTTTCGTGGATTCAATTTGCTGAAGCGGTCTTTAAATCTGTAGTCATCCTTGATGTATTTGTCACGGTTCTTGAATTCATTAAGTGTCGTTTTAAACACTTTAATGGCACATTCTGGAGGTATAACTTTATCATCTTCAGTTGCACTTCTCATGGTAAGAGTTAAACACATAACAAAGGTAAGTATTCACATCCTTACAAGCGAATGTATGGTTGCTCTTTTGCCTTTCGTTTGTTTTTGGTTTGTTTCTTTTTTAATACATTGCAAGATATAGTGATTTTTAACACGCGCTGAAAAGACCTGAGTTTGTACTGAGTTTGAAAGCCACTTCAAGTTAAGTTTGTAAGAGTTCTATGATTAAACTTAGATATTGAATGTTTGATTTCTGGAATTCTGACCATATGTTGCTCATAAAATAGGGTCCATCTCCCAACTTGTGAATATTTTAGTTAAATATCATAGCTAACAACAATCCTGTTAATGTTATTAATGTTAATTAATATAATTACTTTGACTATGTTACAAGAGAAAAAAACCTTGCATCATTACAGCAATGGCAGCGCCACAGTGTTTTGTTAAGCAACTTAAAAGGCACTGAATTCTGAATAAGCAAAAGAACACTCCTGAATATCATTCAAGCACATGTCAAATAAAAACAAAAACAAACAAAACAAAGCAAAAGAACAACAACAAAAAACATCCCCTTCAGCTCATGTCTCTCCTGATGTCTCTAAACAAGTTATCTGTATTTGGGTTTTATTAGTTTCTTCTCAACATACATTGAACTAGAGGTGTTTCCTCATCCCAACACTATTCTCCGGGTAAACCGAAAGTAAGCAAGAGCACCTACACTGAGCTTCACAGATGGAGCTGGTAACACAGTGATCTCTATGTAAAGACAATCTGCAGGTAGCCTAAGATCATCATGATGGCCCCCTAGTGTAGGGCAAGTCAGTGAAAAGAGTTCTCTGAAATCTCAAGATTTTTTTGTAAAAAGGAGTATTTTCTTCTACAGAAAGTCACCATGGATTTGATCCTGTTCATCAAGGAAGACAGCAGGAATTTTTTGACTTCAAAGTTGGTACCATTTAGTTTTCAGAATTTATCATCACCTGCATACACGTGAATAAAACCTCAAAGTCTTAGCAACAAAACAGATGCAGATTGTTTGTATATTTTGTGGTTTCTCCTTTTTAGGCCATCTCTGACACTTCAGTGTACCGTGAGTACCAAACAACATACTTACTTTCCTCCATATGCATGAAAAACAACAGATTCTTTCCCTGTGCTGATGCAGCCTGTGATGGTCTCCAGCATCCCAGAATTGACCATCTTGTACAGAAGTAAACGTGTTTTAGGATCCACTGCTTTCTCCTACAGGTAAGAAATGAACACTCAATTCATTAAAACAATCCTTTGCTTTACGTTGAGTTAGAATATTTATATACTACTACAGTCCAACTGGGCACAAAAAAAAATAATATGTTAGAACTCTCTTAGTACTTAAGAACACTCTGTAGTGTTTTCAAGAAGTCTTACACATGATGAACCTAATATCCCAAATATTATATTCATTTTGTATGAGCTACAATGAAGTAAAACATTCAAGTTTGAAAGAGTCTGCTCCAAACTTACCCTTTAAGCCTATTTACTGACTTCCAAAACTACTAACTAAAATTTACTTGGTCACCTTATTTTCCTGAAACTTGCTATGAAGATGTTTGGAGCCACAAACTTCAACCACAGCGGATTCATCCTCTAGAGAGTTTCTATAAATAATTCCTAAGCAGTTTACTCATTTTAGTAGAGTATGAGACAGGTTTAGAAAGAAAAACAGTAAATACTGGAAGCTGTTTATTCTTAGTTTGATATGGCTCTCACAGTTAATGCAACTCAAATGAAGACAGACTTTCTCTAGCAAGAGCTAATACTATCTTCTTCGTCAATTATATCACTTAATTGTTTTACTCAAAATGGTTACGTTTCAAGGAATTACCAAAACAGTCTTCCATTGTTACACAAGATGAAGAGCATAAAGAAACTTCAAAAACATACAGCAGTGGAGTGCTCCTTCTTTTCATGGAGCCTTGCACTTCGACGTTCCTCTGAGTATGCGTGCTGCTTTAAGGCATTGAAGACTTGATTTGACAGCTTTAAGTCCATCCCAATTCCATCTCCAACTTGGAACCCAGGAGCAAACTATGAGGAGAAACATCAGAAATGTAAATATTGTTATTAGCCGACACCAGAAATTGGCACAAGCAAAAATTTCTCCTTAGGATCTGCAAATCTAGTTTAAATTGGGACTTAAGTGACAACATTCCACACAGTGAGTTTCACAACATCCAAAACATATTGCTGTAAACTCAGAACTTGAAATTCTGCCCAAATTTGTAATAAGATTACCTAACATCCTGTAAAACAGCAACTGCAGCATCTCCCTGTTTGAAGCAGTTGTACCAGTTACATTAAAGAAAAGTGAAGGTAGGTACTGTGGGTACGTAGACTGAAAAGCTGTACATTAAACCACTGCCTAAAAACAAGTTACTTAGTTGAGCAGGCAAAATTAATGTAAACGAAATTAGGTTGGATTGATACACTTTACAGGAATATCCTTGATGTTCTATTTGCCCAAGTACCACACTTGCCAATAGCTTTGTATTGTCAAAACAGTTCTATGCAAGCTCTTAAATCGTGTCATTAACAAACTATTATTAAATTAACAACAACAAAAATCAAGTCAAATTGGCAATTTGATAACTAAACCAACCACTGCATTGCCTTCATCTGATTTTTAAAAATAATTAATTAAATAAAATTAGCATCATATACAGTAGTAGAGACATTTCTTCTTTGGGTAAGTTACAGCATTCCGCATTCCGGTTTCACATGCAAAGCAAAATTCCCCTAAGCTTTCACTTACATTTTCCATACGAGCTGTGTTCTTTCTTCCACATACCACTTCATCGTGTTTAGTGGTAATGTCTTTTCCCTTTCCAATGAAGCCCTTTTTAGGTGTAGTAGTAGGTTTATCTGCCAGCAGTAAGAAAAAGCCAAGCTTTACATTGAAACAAACATTATTAATGCTAAGGTTCCACAATGCCCATAAAAATTATATATAGCTTTATTTACTAAAAAGAATAACATTTTAGTCCTATTATTTTAATGCAGTCTTATCTTCTCTTATCCTAAACACGTCAAATTCTTGCTATGTCATGACTTACTTTTATGTATTCTCTGGAGCGTCAGACAAGGTAATATTCAATATTTTGTGCAGATGCCCCAATATATTCTCTATAAAAATCAGATTTCAGCCGCTGAAGCTAGAATACTGGAAGACAGAAGCCTTAAGTTACCCGCCCAACTTCCTGCATAACACCTCCCAATTAGGTGACCTGGTTTTCCACAGAATTAGTGGAAAAGTTTCTTCTTACATTAAAGAAAACTGATCTTATTTTTATCAGCTAAAGAAATTGTACTGTTTAGAACAGCCACATACCTGCCCTGTAAGGATCGTGACGGGTATCCTGCCAATCAACCTCATCCTCTGAACTGTCACTGTCAAAGGGATGCACCTTCCGATAATTTTCGAAGGATATGGAGACTTGAGAAAGAAAACAAATAAGCATGTCTGTAATTATCAGGGATTTGCTAAGTCGTCACAGCTCTGTCAACTGAAGTAGAATGCCTCCAAAGCCAAAATATTTCTTTTGATTAAAGTACCTTTGCTATCTCCGTTGAATTTCTTCTCTTCACGTCGAAGCTGTGCATCATATTCCCTGTCAAATTCCATCTGCAGCATCTGGGCTAGCATTAGGTCACTAGAAGTGTCAATATTTTCTCCTGTAATAAAGGGTCCTTCAGCAACACTATATAAAATGAAAAAATGGATTCCAAAAATTAAATGCAGCAATCTAGACAGAAACATTGCTTTATATAATTTCATCACCATACAAAAGATCTAGTGCAGAGCTCTGTAGGAACTAATGGATCTCAAATGCCCCCCCAGATTCTTTTTACAACTACTTTGCTGGGCAAATTACTTCAATATCTTTGTTTACCATTCTGTAAGAAGCATGAGGCTCCATTTTTAAGATATCCCTTATGAGAGAGAAAGAAGTCATACAGCTAGAACAACTTCTCTCAAACCATAGCTTATGGACTGGCTTAAAGCAACCAAAACAAGGCGAAGAAAATACCAAGAAAGGAGGAGTGGTAACAGAGGATAGTTTTTAAAGGAAGAGTTGTACCTGGGGAAGCCATCTTCACTGAAGGAGCAGAGTTAGGAAATACTGGGCAAGGCACTTACTATAGTGCTACACTATAAGCACGCTGAACAGAAGGGGACAGAAGATGGGGATTTACAACTCTGGAGATGACTAATCCGGGGTTTAAACTTACGCAACCACTTCAGGAAAAGCAGCATTTTCTTCTTCCAGTTGCAGCTCTTTCGCCAGCTGTTCGCTCATTACCTCGGCGAGGGAACACGATATCGATGCAGGCTTGGGGGCTCCCCAGGGACACTGTAAATAAACATTTCGTTCAAGCCAGCAACCCCCATAACAGGTTAATAGCAGTGCCTCTAGGATAAACTGAGGTAATCTGTTAAGAGCTTGTTGAGTTTTCTGAGTTCACACACAGCGCGTGTAAAAGTTCGGGGGGAATAACTGAAATCACTGGTTTATGGGCAATGTCCTCCTTCATTTCTGGACTTTCTGAAGGGAAAACCACGACGAAGGCGCCCTCGGAAGCCGTGAAGCCCTCCCCCAGCTCGGCTCGCTGCCTCCAGCCGCCAGCAGCGCCTCAGGGGGCGGCAGCCGCCGCTCTGCCCCCACAGCCGCCCCCCGCCCGCCCTCACCTTGCTCTGCCAGCCGGGGCCCGGCCCCGCGTCAGGCACGGCGGTGGCGGCCATCCCGAGCGGCTCCATGCGAGCTGGCAAGGCCGGGAGAGGCGGCGGAGGGAGGGAGGGAGGGCGGGCAGGCGGCTCCGAGCGAGAAACCTTCCGGGTCCTCCCCACCGCCCCGCTCCCTCGCACCGCCATCTGCCGGCGGGCTCCGGAGGGACCCGTGTGGGGACGGGGAGGGGACAGGGACACAGGGACGCACACGGGGACACACACGGGGACATGGGGACACACACAGGGACACGGGGAGCAGCCGCCGGTCCCTGCCGAGAGCGCCCGGGGAAGGGCGAGGAGCCGCCGGGCAGCCTTGGTGATAGGACAAATAGTGATCATAAATGGTCCTGTGGGGTGAAGTTTGCGTGATCTGAGGAAATAATGAAGATAAGGGGAGGGAAAATAAAAAGCCTAAGTGTACAAATCGATTTGGTCCTGATCCCGTAGCTCAAAGGACGAGCAAACAAATTGACCTGATCCGGACCCTGTAACACCGTAAATGCAGAACGAATACAAATGGATCCTCTGCGATCCTCCACCTGTTACACCCCTATGGCAAACGCAACGTTTACCTGGAAAATCATATGGGGTTAACATGTCCTCCTGTCAGGCCAGGGGCATTTTGCTACCACACAGCCACCCCGTGTGCCTGCTGGAGCCAGCAGCAAAGCGATGCCCGGCAGCCCCTCAGGTCTGGCTCGCTGCTGGCCCTCAGGGGCATGGCCCCAGCCCCTGGATAACCAGGAACCAGCCTGGTTATGAGGTGGGAGAGATAAGAAGGGGTCTCACAGTCCCCTGTGTGGAGAAGCTCCCCGTGATGTGGCTGCCAGGCCAGCCCCAGCAGCCGCCACTTGCCTTGACTCAGGCGTGGAGGATCGGCGTTGCCGGCCAGAGTTCATCTGATCTGTCCTTAGCCACCAGCGACGATGTCGGGTGTCACAATCACCAAGGCAACCTGTTGACAAACACTGAGGCTGGAAGTCCTCAAAAAACAAACAAACAAAAAAACATTACTAATGACTTAATATTCTTATGTCTTTTATTCCTCTTTTATTTTTCAGAAGTAAGTCTTTTTCACATTCTTCAGTTCTGCAGTCTAATAAAGGAATCAAAGCCTTCGTCAAATGAATATTACATGGTTGAGGCCTTGATCCCATGACCCCTTAAATGAATGGATCAAGCTTTGAACTAACTTGCACAAAGAAGAAATGCTATATAAAATCACATGTAAACAAAATCATTTGCCACTCATTCACATCTCCTGGAAAAAAAAAAAAAAAAAAAAAAAAAGTTAAAATCTAGATAGAGCAGAAACTCCCCTTCATGCTACTCAAAACATTTCTAAAGCTGTTTAGCAATTACTGAATATGTAACTCAAGTTAGTTATGATAAAAAACATTGGCAGCATTTTTTATCTTCATTCTTTATCCCACGCTTTAAATGATTTACAGTAGTTCAAATCTGCCTCTGCATTTTTCTCTAGGAAAACACATCGGTGCCCAAATCTCCCAGTTTTAATAAAAAACACCTCAAGAAACATGTAGAGAGATATCAATGTAATATTTTGTATGAAAACTACACTCCACTAAATTAAAAAGCAAAAGTTATTCTTCTCACACGCTTACATCAGTCTTTGTAGATCCAAGTAAGCTTTTCTTATTCTTTCTTAAAGCCTTACAGGCTGAATTTATGGCACAATGCAAACGTATTTGTCTGCTTACTGATTTTCAGAGCTCTTGAACACAAGATCTATGAAATGGAAACGCTTTATCATCTACACAATCATGTCCATTGCATCTGTTACTGTGGCATGTGAGAGATCACTGCTGTCCAGGATGGACCAAACATTTCAGCACAAGAAATCAGATGTCTCTTTTGGGCCAGCTCCTTACAAACCACACAGGATTGTGTTTCATGGACCAAAGTGTTTGCATTTGTCTTGGAGCAGTGGGGACTGTGAGGCCCTTGAGCTCTGACTTTGCCTTTTGAGGCTCAACTTAGCAGGTTAGACGGGCTCATACCATGGGATGGATTTGCCCTTGCTCTACCTGTTAGTTTCCCTTCTCTCTCTCCAATTTAGGCCATGCTCACCACTCCCTTATTTGTGCTGCTTTCTTCAAAAACAGGGAGCACATGTACAGAGAGACCCTGTACTTTGCATTACGTGAGCAAAGTCAAGATGAGAACAGCACAGGTAGGGGATTGCTGATCAGGCAAGAGCACGGCTGACCTGTGATGTGATACAAGAACGCCCAGGACTAGGTAGGACACGTCATCCACTGCTTCTCTGCCTCCCTGGGGTATTTATAGTTTACACGTCACCGCTGTACATAAGTACTGCTGTAAAATCTAGCTGTTTGCAATTATTTGCTACTTTTTTTTTTTTTCCCTCTAGGTAGGTTCACTAAATGAGTATCTCCCAACAGTGTAAGTTAAGCAATACAGGCTACAGTTTGTGAAATGACTTACCGTTAAATATCTCGAGCTGCCGAAGGCAGAGAACACACAGATATCTCATGTTGAGCATTCCCATAATGTATTTTACCATAAAGCTTGTCATTGAACAAACATAACGTTCAAATATTACAGCTAAAATTAAATATAAGGGAAGCAATTTGTGTTTGTTAAGATATGCTATTATTTTTTTTCCAACAAAATGGCTGTTGTCTTAACTGTTTTCTGGAATGTGTGCTGTAACTGCAGATATAAGAAACATTATTCTGCTTTTTTTCTGGTTTACAATAAAAGAAGTCCCAAAAGATCTGTTAGCTTTTCTTTACTGAAAAGTACCCCAAATGATTAATTTTTCACCACATAAATGAGAAGTCTTTTTTTTTTTTTTTTTTTTTTTTTTTTCCTATTTTTACTGGAAAGCCACTTGGATATTTAGAAAACTGGAAAGGAAATTTGTGTTGTAAAGTAGGAGTTTTTTGAATATTTCATGTTTGTCAAATCCTTGAGTTAAATGCACACTAGCAAAAACAGTTTATTTTTTAAAGCAAAAAAAAAAATCTTATCACATATTCCCTAACTACAGATGTTAATTTCTCTTGATGATGCTCTCAGTTTGTCATCACAGTGATGACTAAAAACCAAGCAGGTCAAGAACACAAAACGTAATTCTATCCGTAACGTGTTGTTGTTGTTGTTTTCCTCAAAAGTGTTGCTTTTCATTCCACACAGAACACTGAAAGAGAAAATCCCACAGATTACACCTCCATTCAGCTTCAATTTAGCCAAACAAGGGCAAAAAGGTGGGCTGATACGTTTAATAGTAGATTTGTAAGCGTGATGTTTGAAGCTGGAAGAAGTGGGGAGCGGAGCTTGTCAGAAGCGGGGAGTGGAGGCAGATTTTGTCTCTGGGCTGAATCTCTGTGAGCCCAGAGGTGTCACAGAAAGAGTGCATTCCTTAAGTGCAAGGAATGGCAATTACCAAAACGAAAATTTGTCATAATAAGCTTGCAATTGATGTTAGCGCCGCCCCGCTCATGGCGGCCTCGCCCCCTTCAGGAGGAGGCGCGGCGGGGAGCGGCCGCTGCCCCGCCATGGCCGCCGCGGGCGCCTGGGCCGGTGCCCGATGTACCTGAAGCGGCCGGCGGGCGGGCTGGCTTTTTGCCTCTTCTACCTGGCGTCCTGCTTCACCAACAAGGTGAGCTGCTCCACAAGGGGAGCCCGGAGAGACCGGGGAGGCGGCGGAGACTGAAGCCGGGGCCCCGGGACACGTGGCGGCTGGCGGCCCGGCTCCCGGCCCCTTCGCCTCACGAAATGGGGGGCGAGGGGGTGGTAGCCGGGCAGCCGCGCTAAGTAGAGGTAGATCGGGGTCCAGAGGTGAAGCAGAGCTCCTAGGAGGAGATGTTGCTCCTACCGAATCTGCTGAAGGAGGGGTGTTGGCTGGGGAAGCAGAAAGGGGCTGCAGTAGCTGCCAAGCTGCCTCCTGTGTTGGAAAAGATGCTTGGCTTAACTCAGAGGAAGCTGGAAGAGCTTTGATGTAGGGACTCTGTTTTCAAACTTTTGAGTAGGTTTTAACATAATGAGGCTGAAGATAATCAGAATATACACCTTCCATTTTCCCCAGATGACATATAAATGGAAGTGGGGGTATGGACTTGCAGTTACACCCTCCTGATTTAAAACCAATTGCTACTTCTGACAAATCTGTGCCTAACACAACCCCTTGTGAGCCAACGTGCCTTATCTCAGTGTGTATTGATGCCAGTTTCTCAGTAACACGCTGCCACCACCTCTAACAGTCATTTTGCCAAGTGCTCAGTGCGGTTTTGTCTCTGCTGAAAGCTTTTGGCATCTCGTGTTCATTGACAGCTGCTGCTGGCTCCTGGAGGGAATGGCAGGTCCCTTTCCTTTCTACTGAGGAAGCTCCAGTCGTTCTTCTCCTGTGCACAGATAGCGTCCTTGTTCTTTATCACAGGTAGTTGTTAGATCCTGGTTTATGTATGGAAAGGCCAATGCATTTCTGTCTCATAGATGCATATGTATGTGGGGAAAAAACGTGAACATCCATACGCAGGGACCCTAACAAAGCATGCTAAAGCAAAGACACAAAGCCTACTTCCATATCTGTGCAGTGTATTACATCTCCGATGGGCTTTATGGACTACTTCATGTTTTACACAAAACTGGGTGAGCAGCGTTAGGTACAGATGGATTAATCATCAGGAGAAAATTATCTCAAAGTTAGCGGTCTTAATCCTGCCAAAGCTTGCCTCTGTGGTATGATATGATTTTAATGGACAAGTCCTTGTATCTTTTTGTTCCTGTACGTCCTTTTCCCATTCAGTGCAAAGTGTGCCGTGTGCTCAGCAAGTAAACGAGCAGCTTGGTAGGCATCCTTCTCTCCAGTGTTCAGTGTGTCTGCTCTGTGCCTCACGAACTTCAGTGTCTACTGCCTTCCACAGTGACTGGGGGAATATCCAGCAGTTCTGACACAGGAAAAGAAGTTACAGAGAATGTTCAGACTGTCTCTTTTTTTTTTGTTTCTCAATTTCAGTAGGGGCTTCTTGTATTTTGTTGCTCTTGTAATCGCTTGTTAATGTTATAGCTCCGTGGATGTTTGAGGTCCATTAATTTGGTGTTTGTTTTCCAGTATGTCCTGTCTGTCCTGAAATTTACCTACCCTACCCTTTTTCAAGGGTAAGTACCATTTTAAGAATACAATCCTTTGAAAAATGACTTTAATTGGTAAATGTCCTGCTGTTCCATGCTGAAGCCAACTTGGGTACTTCATGCTGTTACTGGCTGTTGCTGTCCAGAGAATGAACTTCATGAAATCTTGGTAAAACAGACATTAATTTGTCTTGGTTAACTTTTAAACATAATGATGGTAATGTAATTAGGATATATAGACCCCATAATTTCTTGTTTTTCATGGAAGTTTTATGCTTTAGCATAGAAAAGTAATAATCATAGTATAGTCCGTCTTCATGGGATATGGCTCTCATGGATAACAGGCAGATTTGGTGTATTCTTTTTTTATTGTGCTAGTGAAAACTGACCTTAAACCCATCTTTAGGCATACATAAATACAGTGCTGCTCATTTTCATGCTTGGCATTTGTTGTAGCTGTGTATTAGCTGTGTAGTCCTTATGATACCTTAATGACAGTAATGAAAAATTTAATGCTTTCCCAAGTATAGACCATCAGTACTGTTAATAATTTGTGAGACAGTTAGTGAAATTCTCTCCTCTTACATTCAAGACTTCTCCCTTTCGTTCTTTTGAGATGCTGGTAAAATCTACAGATGTTGGATATCTTTAATTCCTTTACTGTTGCTTAGCGTGGTTTACATTTTTGCCCTCCAGGGCTGTAATTGACTCTAGGAATAATTCACCTGGCAATCTCCATTTTCTCTGAGTATACTCAGCTCCATACACAATGAATGCTTCCTTCAGTAAACACACAGGTTCCTGGACAAGGCTTTTAGCATATGGGGAAAGGATCTTGTGTAATGTATGTCAAACATGAGTGTGGTAAGTCAACAGTAAGAAACCATATGCCCAATGACAAGGAATTGCTTTATGGTATCTGTGTTACCACAGTTACTTCCTTTTTCCTGTTATTTGGAAATGCATCTGAGATGCATCTCAGTAATTCTGCTTTTTAAAAGTGACCATTCCTTGAAAATTAAGTGACTCGGGTGTGCTTTCATTTAGTGCTCAGGTAGGTGAACAGAGGGGCAAGAGTGTTAGGCCCGCTTCATGTCATTACTGTTTGTGGCTTTTGTTCCCTCTACAATGTAAGAGAATATGACAGTAGTGCTGAGGATAGGAAATTATTACAGGCTTCAAATTCTGTCCTTCAAAATATGAGATGATATAAAATTATTCATGTAAAGTTGATGGGAATTCATCGGTGGTTTGGAATATAGAGCATGATTGAGCCTGCAGCAAACAAGAGGGGAATCTGGCTTTTAAGCTCTGAAAAGTCTCACATCTGAAAAAAGTCAACTGAGCTGTGATTGCAGTGTTGAACCTTCATCGTATCTTTATGGACAATGTCTGCTCTGACAGCGTCTAATTGTAGGTAATGCTGCAAATAGCAAACAATTGTCAATTTATGTGTGCATGAGAGATTTTTTAAAATAATTGCTTATTGGAGTGAATGGGAATAATCAATAAACCCATTTCTATACCTGTTAATGTGACTTAATGCTGTTGTGCAGTATCTGTCATGTGTTAAATGCTCAAATATTTTCACCCAAGAAACACCTCTCTGTAAACCACTAGCCTGAAGAAGGAAGCTGATCAGTTGTTTTACAGCTTTAAAAAAAATTCACTGTGCACCAGTACTAATTTTAACCTGCAGCCATTGCTAAGGCCTCACATGCTATTTTTGTAGTACAGTAAGGAATATCTTTGTGGTAGGATAAATTATTAGATAGGTAAGTTGATTCAGAACATGTGGAATTGTGATTTTCTCTTTGAAAAGGTGTATAACAGTGTTGTGGTTTATATGCAGTTATCTGTCTGTGAAGATGTTTTCTCTAGATGCTCTGAAGCAGAAGCTCCTGCAGCATAATGATTTGATTGTTGATGACACTTAAGTTGGTGCTTGCTACACAAAATACAGGGCAAACATGCCATCTGTGTTCTAGGGACTGTGTAATCTAGGCCCAGCATGAATAACAATGAAAAGTCATAAAGCTCATGCTTGAAATTACCAGGACTACACGCTTCGTCCTTGGGGCTTATTGGTTCATGCAGAGGAAGTCAGTCTGAATTCTGAAATCATGTTGATTTGCTCTAACAATGACAGTTTATGTATGAACAGCTATCTATCTCTTGTCACAAACCTTGCCTTGCTTGCATCTTTAGATTATCATGGTTATAACGGCACTATTATTATTGTTAATCTTGTTTTGGGAGAAACGGTAAAACGGGTAACATGACTAAGGTAATCTTGGTAGATGGTCCTTTATAAAACATTTGAAACATGAGGTTGGAAGGAAAAATTGGAGGAAATAAAGGTCCAGAAAATGAAAGATTCAAAGAGGAATAGTGCCATCCCAGATAATCTGGAGAAATGGTAATAACTGTAGTCCTGGGTGTGCTCTGAGAAGTTTTAGGGATCAAGAAATCATGCTCCACAGAGTTAAAAAAGACAAACAACTTAGAGATAATGTTTGTTTCTATTTCAGGTGGCAGACGTTAGTCGGTGGACTTCTGCTTCATATCTCCTGGAAGTTGGGCTGGGTGGAAATAAGCTTGTGTTCAAGGTACTGTGGGGTTTTCAGTATCTGATAAATGCTTATTATCTGTAGTTGAGTTACAGCGTGGCTAAGTTGCTTGTGGAAGTTGCTAACTTGTTAAAAACATAAGACTGCGCATGTCTCTGTGCGTTTTGCCTCACAAGGATAGGTGAGGTCTTGTGTTTCAGTCTAATGAATGTTCAAGGACATGCAGTTCAACAGATTACTAATATAAAGTGGATTCAGTTTAACATTTGGTAAGATAATGAAAAAAGGAAGCCATTAGAGAAGACTACAAGCTAATTTATCCAAGCATTTGTCTGCATCTCCTCCCTGGATTATCTTAAAAGTACCATAAGAGAAACATCAGTAATATTAGTTAAAAGCCCCTTTTCCTAAAATTTAAGTGCAGTGGAGTCAGAAAATCTAATCTGCCTTTTCCTCTGTAAGAGGTGTATGATTCTCATTCATGGGACACACCATTACGTGTACCCCCTGTATTCATAAATGCATGGCAAGAGTAGCCATTGCAGTGCACAGGGTTGGTATAATAATTAAACTCCAAATTCAAATGTGCTTTGTTGGATCGAGATCATCTTGAATTGAGTGTGGCTCAAATTAGAAGAGTCACCCAAAATACTGTACTTTGTCAAGATCCATTCCGTAGTATGGAATGTGACACATCCTTTATATGTCACAAAATGTTATGATTACCTACAGAAATTGTTGAATCCCCATCACTGGAGATATTAAAAAAAAAATATTGAATGACCTGAACAATGTGGCTTAAATCTGAAGCTAGAGTATCAGGCTAGATGACTGCCAGAGTTCACTTCTTTTTTTTAATCAGTGATTCTGTATTAGCAAATGAGAGCTGATAAATTTTCTGTCTGGGATACAAGCAGTTGATTTGCAAAACTGAAGCTACTCATTTAGAATGAAATCTGTGTGTATGTGTGTGAGAAGAACCAGGCTAAGCTCTTTTTTTTTTTTTCCTCCTGTGTGCAAATGACTACATCACCCCTGAAACCTAAGCAAAGTTGTAAATGGAAAAAAAATTTAACTTCCTATCTTTTATCTTTATGTTTAGATAAAATGATACTGGTGCTGAAAGCTGTCATTGACGCTGGTTGAAGCAGGATTAGGTTCCAATCTTCACTTTAGTAACAGAAACTGATACATATTGTTATCAGATGTATCTATTGTTTGTGCATGTTTTGTCTCCGCAGTACAGCATGAGGGACAAAGGAATACAGCCATCAGTAATGTCCTTTTTCATTCATCCTTTCATCGCTAGATGAGAAATTACTTCTGCTTTAAATCAAGAAAGTTAAGAAGTCGAGACACCACTAGATGTCAGCATACACTAGGGAAACCGATTTAAACAAACCTTGGGAAAGCTTTTTTGTAGTTTTCCAGAGCGTGCATTTTGTATCAGCTGTGAACCAAATGAAATGACCAGAATTAAATGGTGTGTTTTAGCTGTAATTCAGCTGAGTACTTAGGTGTGAATTTAAATCTTTCTTCAGAAGAATTAAGTGTATGCTTTGCTGAACTGAACTTGTAGCATAGATCTCCTCTATTTAAAAAAAAAAAAGAAAAAGAAAAAGAACAACCCATAGTGTTTCAGAGCTTCTGCCTGCTGTTTCCTCTCAAGGTCCTTTCCTCTGCAAAGATATTCTCCCAGTGGTCTGGAAAGGGCATTTTTTTATCCCCTCTCTTGAAGAATATTAGTCTCTGGATCTATTTTGTGTATGTACATGTAGGATATTTAAAACCAATATACCCAGTCATCAGTCTTCTCATACTGGAAATAACAAACTGCTACCCATCTGTGTGTTTCTACAAAGTCTTGAATATTTTTGTTCTGAAGGCTGATCTTGTGCTTTCTGAGCCAGTTCAGGTTATCTCAAAGTATTTCAGAAGAATTATTTTATTACATAGAGATCACTGCCCTTTGTCTGAAGGATATGACAAAGTCAGGAATACTAGCTTCGCAATAAAGCAAATAAAAACAGGTCCTCAGTTCCATTAAACATAATATTTAGAGTAATTTCTCCTTGGTTTTATTTTTTCATATGCTTCTCTTCAGTACTGCAAGAGATGCTTGCTGTCGTTGTTGCTTCTACAGGGTGAATAGTGATAGTCTGCAAAACTTGTATCCAAAAGAACTCAGAGCCTTGCTTAAACCAAAGCTTCAAAGAATGGTTTCAGGGAAACTGCTCGTTGACTTCAGTGGGCTTTGGATCTAGCCCCACAACCACAAACCCGTCAGTTCTTTCACGTCACTGAGCTCGCCTGCTCTGCACGTACATGGCTGTATTGCCAGCAAAGGAAACTGCTAACTGGTTTGCATACAGGACAGATCCTTGGTGCTGACATATTACATCAAACATGCACGCATTCTTTTTCGGTCCTGAAATTCCCACTTGGCAGCATAAAATTCTCTTTTCACATCCTGGGAAAAGGATCTGAAGGCCTTTTCCATTGCACTTCACAGTGCTGCACTGGAAATGGAGACATATTTCGCATACCTAGAATTTAGTGGTGGGGAACATGAAAGAGCAGGATTTTGATGCTCTAAATGGAAATTCAGTTTTCAGCTTGTGTTCCTTCTTCCCAGCCCTTCATTTCTCTTCTTCCCTTCCTTCTTTCTTGAATTTATGCCCATTCAATTTTTTTGGTGATGTGAAATCGTTGGCAGTGAGGTATGACAGTTTTAAATCCTGGTCTTAGTGAAATTCCAGTTGAATTGTGCTTAGAAGGCACAGATTCTCAATAAAAATGATGATGACAACCAGAGGAAAAAAAAAAACAGCAAATGTTTATGCCAGTACAAGGACATAAAGACCATGTTTTGTTACACTCTTGTCATTTTTTTTTTTTAATCAAATATATTGGAAAATTATATAAAGAAAGGAAACACTTATTTTTTTTTCCTTGTCTTAAAGCTTATAGAAATCCTTGGGCATGATGGATCTTCATTTAGACTGTTTTGTTTTTTTTTTTGACCTTTATTTGTCTGTTTTTTGGTATTTAATGAAGTGTGTTGCTACAGTGGTAACTCTATTTTGACTCTCAATATGCTAGTTGGAAGCATAATCCAAGCTGATGAATTGCAAATAATTTGCCTTAATTTTAAAGAAACAGAATTACGTGTTAAAACTCTGCCTTTAATTCAAGGTTTAGGAAGAGTGAATGAAGGTAACATTGTCTTCAGTCCTGGGAAACTGCTGATTTAGTCCTTTAAATTGCTATCACTTTTTTCCTCCCTTGCTCAAAATCTTATATTATTCTCTCTGAAGTTTACCCCCTACCTGATTCATTTTTTTCCTGAAGTACTGAGATGAAAAAAGGAAGGCTGCAAATTCTGAAGCCCCTTCTCAAAACTGAGACCTGACCCGACTGCCATAACGAAGACTTAACAAAAACCCACAAAACACCACCGGATCAATCTGCGATGATTTCATTCCTCCATTAATTGTCAAACTGCCTCTAGGAGTTTGGCTTAGTCAAAGGAGTATCATTAGGAAATCTCAAGAGACAGGCTCCCACAGAGACAATCTGATCTTGAGGAAGGATCTCGTTGTAAATCTGGCTGAGAAACGAAATGTGTGGGTGGGCAAGTGTATTTGTACATAGTGCAAATGTGTGCTGTCTGTGCAAGTGCGCCATTTTATGCCTTCATTTGTAAGGTTTTTTTCTTCCTTTTACAGTGTGTCAAGGAACTTACTGAAATGGAATTGCTCTCCCTTAAAACCAATAGGAGCAATTGCTATGAAATAATTTTTTTTTGGTAGGAGAGCAGCCAAGGAAAAAGTACAAGAAAAGAACTAGCAGAAATCTTGGCTATCTGGGATTAGATGAAGTGGTTCATTTCTGTCTCGGGGCCTTCTTTAGTAAGTGGGAGGAATACTGAACAATCAGACAATAAATTTAATATGCACACTTTTGAATATATATGTATCTAATATTCCTTGCAAGTAGGTGTTGCTGGCTGCATGTAAACAGAATGTGGTGAAGTAATGCAATTCTAATTGTTTTCACAGGTCTGAAATCCTGTCATGGCTGCCTGCTTCAGTACTTTTTGTGGGCATTATTTACGCTGGCTCTAGGGCACTATCTAGATTGGTAAGAAATGCATGAGTAGAAGTCGGTTCATTACTGCCTCGACTTTTTTGAGCAAACAATGTTCCCTTCATACAAGGTGTTTAATGATGTTCTTGGGTTGGGGGGTAAGAAGGGAGGAGTTCAAATAATACGGAATCTGTTAATGGTCCTAGGGCAGCAATCCAGTCCTACAAAGTGTAAAGCAGTTATAAAAAACATAAAATACCTTCACCTTTCCGTGGTCTCTCTGACAGTCTGAAGAACTCAGCATCTCTCCAAAATATTCCAGGTTTTGCAGACAGATCCTTGGTAGCCTGAACTGTGCAAACAGGGAAGAAGTTACAGAAATTATTAGCTGTATCTTTGCAAAAGGGTAAATGGGACACATGTCTGTGGGAAATGCTTCCAGGAGGAGGATGAAAACTATTTCAGTGAGAGGCTTTGAGGCTTTACAAGATTTGAGAAAATAAATTGAAAGTCTGGAAGGGATTATGGGAGTGATTAGAGACATTGGACTGATGATCCGTTTCAATCACAATAACCTAGCAAATGTTTATTCAGGGGGTATCAAACCTGCTTTCAGTGAAGTTGACTGCCTTTTACTTAAGTGAGCCAGCGTTTCTCAAAAAAGTAAATGTGATGTTATTTTTTTTTTTTAAGCAATGTTTTACTGCTGTTTCTGCAAGAAATAAGTCTGCAAGACCAGATTCTCCTCTAGTCCTCTTCTGTCATTACACCTTGGTTTGATTCCAGAGCCAGCTCACTCCTACCAACTCCTAAACCCCAAAAAGGATCAAAAGGGAATTCTTCTTGGACAAGATTCTGTTTGTGGTAAACATCCTACAAATATCCCAGTGGAGAGGCAGGGCAGAAAGTGACAGATGGTCTCTGTCCTCTTACTAATGCAGTGGGTCTCATCTTAGACCCCGGTGATCTTTGTTAAAGCCTGGCTGTGTGCTCAGAAGCCATGTGCCTCCAGATTAGCTCTCTCTCATCGTGACTGCATTTACTTCCTCCTGCTTCCTTGGCAAAGCAAGTTCCAGCAAAGATCTGTAAGAAGAGAGCTGCCTGGAAGCAGCGATAAAGCCTCAGCAGTGGCACCTTTTCTGCCTGCTCACCTGGGAGGTGGAGGAGGCCCGAATCATATCCTCTCTGGCTATTTCTTCTTTCACAGTCCCATAAATTATATCATTTCCATGCCTTCCCTGCTCCATGGTCATTCAACAGTGAGATGCACTGGCAGAGGGCCTGTGAATGTTTTTTTTGATTTTTATCCCAAACCGTTCATCAGGAGCATCTCCCATTTCTGCATGGCTTTTTGTTCATGGATGAGGGTTTTGAGGCCTAATTCTGTGGCCATTTTAGGAAGAAAGATGGGTAGTTTTAGGCCATAATTAGTGTATAGTTCCTTGTACTGGTCCTAAATTCAATACGTGCCAGCTTTATTTACAGTGACTTTGCCTACAACAGTTTTATGACATGATGAGAAGAAAAATGCACTCTCCTAATCCTTGTACCAGAATGCGCACCTCACAGGTGTACTTGAATGAAGCGGGTTTGTTTCCAAAGTGGAAATTACGTGAACTTTTTGGACCAAATCCAGGGATGCCCACTTTCAAACACTACTGTGTACTGCCAGGGCTGTAATATAGTCTCTATTTGTGCCTCTCCTGAGGGTCGCTGGCAGTTCTCCTGCCCAAAGTTCAGGGCTGGAGGAGGGCTGCTTAGCTCTGGACTGTGATGCAGTAGCAAAAGTATGCAGAACTGCGAGGGGAAGTTTGGATGGAGTCTGTTCACCCTGCCTGTCCAACGAGTAAACCTTTCTCTTTGTTAGCGTTAAGTCCACTCACAAATTAAAGAAAGTCACTTCAAAGACGGCAGACATATGGAGAAGGTTAACAGGGCTAGGCAAACTGGAGCCATTGTTGGCTCCGAAACGCATACGGAAGAGCCAAAAGTGGAGCCAAAAGGGGAGAGGGAGGAAAGAAAAACCCAACAAATTGGCTTCACAAAAGGAATAATGTAAATTTTGCTGTCAACTGGCCTTGTGTATGGTTATTTCTTTATAGTTACTTGTATTTCCTATCGTGTCAGGCTCAGGATGCATATGTTAGATAATTGTGTTTCATTGTGCTTAGCTGTCCAGCACCAGGGGTGCGAACTGGTTTTCGGGAAGGGTGAAGCAGGAGCTGACAAATTCATGCTAGTTCTGTTTGTGTGATTTTTCATTCCTTGCTAATTTAGAGGTGTTAAGAGTTACCTTGGTGAAACTGCTGTGTTTATGGATCCACCCCAGTTATCGTTACGGCTTTCAATGTTTATTTAGTGATCCTTATCCAGCTTTATGGGAAAGAAAAGAAAAATACAGCAAATACAGATTTCTGATCACAAAGTCAAGACAAGGAGGTGCTTACTGTATGATACTTACAAGGCAAGGGCATCACTGAGAAATTAACTCATTCTCTACTCGTGATTTAAATACTACCCATAAGAAGGGAAATACTGCTTCCTACAACTGCTTTAGTCTTCAGGTTATCTTAATTGGAGCAGAGAGTTGCTTCTGTTTCGCCTGGCTGAGAGACCATGGATCTGATTTGGAGGAAGTGTTAGGAACCACTAATTCAAGTTGGTTTTGCCTGGGGCGATGGGTGTCTTACTCATTATTGTTATCGCTGGGGTTTGTTGCTTAATGATTTCATATTGGGATGGTGGCCAGATGCCTCCTTGGATATAATTTCAGCATCACTCGTGTGTGAACTATTATATTTCCACCCTAATTTCTGGCAGCTCTTCCTAGCAGGAACAGAAAGCAATTGCCGAAAATAATCTTCCTGGTGGTTTTGTTGCTAGGAGTAACACTGTATTCTTAGTACCCGCAGACAGAGACGGGAAAACTAATGAGAATGGTTTGCTGTGGAGGCTGTGGGCACATGAATTGAGAGGCAAAACCTGTGGCAAAGCTTGCAGTGGTAGCTCTGTGTGAGCAAACAGACCGAGCACTCAAAAGTGGGAGAAGTGATTGTGCTCTTGGAATGGGACTAAGTCCCTTTTGGGAAATATGACATGGGTTTACAATTTAAAAACAAGCAACACAAAACCCTGGGGCAGGTAGCCCTAAGAGGAGCACCCATTCCTATGCCGGTGACTGTTCTGAGTTGATTCAGGCCTTTTTTTTTTCTCTCTCCTAACGGCAGCCAATTCCAGTGTTCCTCGCCATACAGAACGCAGCAGAAGTCATAACCTGTGGCTTCCAGAAGTTTGTGCAGAAAGAGGTAATTGGTCTATTAATTGGGGTATTCAAGGCACCTCCGGTGATATAACTGCCCTATAACAAAGCACCTCATTTCTTTTTACATAGGCATTACTGCTGAGTGCTTTTCTGCTCTCGCTGTGATAGCAAGTCCCTAATGAGTCCCAGAGAGAGATTTGCTGTTGACGAGTATCTATATCGATGTTTTAATTTCCTCCTTAGTTGATGAAAGACTGCAAGTGCATATTGATGGTTTGATCTCTGTTTCAAAGACTGGCTTGGTCTCATGCCATATGAGACCATCTCTCTCATGCTGTATGTAAGAATTTCATCGTTTGAGCTAAGGGCTGTTCTCCAGCCTCTCATCCCCCAGTCTGTGCAGATATTCAGGATTGCCCCTTCCCAGGTGCAGAGTCCGGCATTTGCTCTTGTTAAACTTCGTGTGGTTGGTGATTACCCAGCTCTCTAATTTGTCAAGATCTTTCTGCGAGGCCTCTCCACCCTTGATGGAGTCAATATCTCCTCCCAGTTTAGTATGACCTGCAGACTTACTCAAAATACCTTCTTGTCCTAGTAATCCAAGTCGTTTATGAAAACATTGAAGAGAACTGGACCTAAAATGGAGCCACAGGGAACCCCACTAGTGACTGCTCGCTCACCTAATGTAATTCTGTTTACTGTAACCCTTCGATAGATCACATCTCCACGTGAAATTTTGGACAAACAGTGTGTTTTTGGATTTCTTTCTGAGTGCTTGAGGATCTGTTCCAATACCTGTTAAAGTATTGGAACAACTGGACAATTCCTGCTTACTTTAATAAGAGAATTTTTTTTGTCTCTTCAGCTACACTACAGGAGATTTTTCTTTTTAGGCAATGAAATGCTTTTTTAATTGTAAAAGCAGAGAGCTGCTGTGTGAGGTAGCACTGGGAAATCACAAAATCATTTCTGCAATGGCCTGGCCTATGGCTTGCAGTGGAAAGTGTCTTCCCTTCATTACCTCTGCTGTGCATATAGAAGACAAATAAATGGCTGATGTTTGCTATTTGTAACAAGCTGAAGAGGTGTGAAAGGTATAATAAGGTATATCATGGCATGTCCCTGTGGCATATTTCCCCGTCTAGTGTCCCTGCCAAAGTGTTTTTATCTTTTTCTTCTAGCTCACATGCTTATATTTCATGTCTTTGAAAACAGAAGCATGATGGGGATGGATAATGCAAACACGGGTCTTGCTAGGAGTCTTCTGGGGAATAATTTTGGCCCAGGGGATTAGGAAACTCATGAATTTAGACCAAGACTGATTTGGTTGGGATAATACCGAATTAATTTAGGATACTTAATATTTGAGTACATACAAAATGCAGTTTTGGTATACTTCAAGATGTGAGCGAGGATCAGGTATTAAGTTAGCGACTGACTTTAGGTATACTTACTGGTAAATAACCTAAAAATAATAATTAAAAAAGAAAAAGGAAGTAGGCTAATCTGTAATCCTTGTTCTATTTTTTTATTTTTATTTTTCAAAATAAATTTGCTAAGCAGTACTCAAACATAACGGGTTGTTGAGTGTTCAGTGGCTTTTTAATGTGTTTGGTGCAGGAAGATCATCTGTGATCACATGGATTAATTTTTTAATCATTTGTTCTTTTCTACAGCAGACCTCTCATCTGAAAGTGTGTAGGTAAGTTTTAAAAACTGCTCAGATTCAGATTCAGACTTGTTTTGGCTCCAGCTTCTGTATTTGTTTCAGACAGTAGCACATCAAAACAATGAAGAATATTAAGACACATTCCTGTAGGCAGTGAGTCTGAATTGCAACAGAAGTAATTAAATGTTTTTGAAACCATTTTTTTATCAATTGCATAAATAGATTTTTTTTCTCATTATAAAAAATAAAAACAGCTAGAAGGGTAATCTTCCTGAGTAACATAGCAGTGATTGTAAGAATGTTTTTGAAAAGGAGGTGGAAATCAAGTTTGATAATCCAGTGGATAAAACTAAGAAAAAGATGATGTGATAGAAAATAGCTAAAAATGCCTTTCTTAAGAAAGAAGAGGTGGGTGACATCCAGCATCATTCTGTTAGCACTGATACACAACCTTCTTAATATTGGTTGGGCTTCAAAAAGGGGATAAAGTGACAAACAGAAACTGGCTATACCTGTATTAAAAGTTTCATTCTTCCTGCCTATCCTCTTGAAAAAAGTGTCCTCCGTGCTTTGTAATCTTTAAGCTGTACTTAGAGTGGATGGTTTTGGTTCATATGTTAGTGTGTTTGGAGGCCCTGTCTTCCTATTCCCTCCCTGATGTTCCCATTAGCTGACTGACTCATTTACTGCCTTATTTTCACTACTGGATTATCTTCAAGGACACCAGGTTTTGTTTTGTTTTGTTTTGTTTTTTTAATCTTATTTATTCTGTCTTCTGTGTCCCTGCAAAGCAGGAAAATGAGCTGCAAAAGCAAATATCCACTATTATTAATAGTGATTGTCCATAGAAATTTTCCACCTGCATTTTCTGTGTAACCTGTAGAAATCGTGACTCAGCCACAGTTTAAGGTTCTGTTTAGTCCAGCTCCACGGACTAGGGGTGTTTTGTGCTGCTTTTCTTATACAACATTGTTCTGTATTATTATTTATGAAGCGTGTCTGATGTAAAAATTAATTTTGGTGGCAGAAATTGCTTTTTAAATACATGGAATAAAAATGAAGTAAACAAAGCATCGCTGTAAAATCAAGTGGAAGTGTCCATATTTCACTGGGAGTACAAGCTTTCAGTCTTGTTTTTTTTTCTCTTTCCCACAGTGTGCTGTTCCTTCTGGTAGCAGCAGTGTGCCTTCCTTTGTTTGACACACAGGTGAGCTCTGTTTTTGTAAAACAGCTCTAGCTTGACCTTGATGTTTGTTCTCATAGAAGGGATGCAGCTTTTACTTGTAAGCTAGGGCAGGATTCCTGCAAAGGAGTCGTAAGTGTGGCCTGTTGCCTTGTTGTAATCTTGCTGGTTTTAATGTGTTTGCATCCTGGTAAAAACCTCTGACCAGTGCACACACAGAGCTCTTCAGTGAAGCCAGTGGCAGAAAAAACCTTGGTATAACTTTACTGGTACAGAGTAGAAACTTCTGGTGTATAATCCATCTTCCCTGAAAGCAGACATCAAAAATAGGCCAGGTGAATTCCCCTCAAAAATGTTTATTTCTTCCCCATTGATTGAGCACAGTAGGCTCTCTTCATAGAATGTTCTTTCAGGATACTCTGCAGTTCCTGAGAGCCTTGGAGAAGGAGACTGCTTAGCTGCTGGAGAGGCTGAGAGGAGAAAAGAGGCAAGAGAACACCGCTTCCAAGACCTTAGTGGTATTCCTCTGATCCCCACAGCCCTCTCTGATTGCCAATCCAAATGTCCAGGGGCAGCCAGAAGTGAACTTTTCTGCTGAGTGAAAAATGGCTGTGATACAAGAGTAAACAGGCTGGAGTTCATAGTCTCAGGCTGTTTAAAATGGTGTCTATGTCTGAAAGAAACAGAGCTGTCCTCACCAAGGCTGAGAGCCTGGGTAATAGGATAGATACCTTGTATATGCCAAATTTCTAAGGGGAGCAAAAAGGACTTTAGTCTTCTCTAGACTTTCTTCTCCTTACTTGTAGTGTAGCTAACTGCAGGGAAATGGTAATACCTATGTTTATATGAACATGCCTTAATTTACTTAAATGTTCTTTATTGCAGTTTGATCCAAACGGTTATTTCTGGGCCCTAATTCACTTGATCTGCGTTGGTAAGTCATTTTCTTTTGGAAGGAGATTTCTGAAGAGTAAACGTGTTGTAGAAGCAAATCAGCTTTATTGTGAAGTTATTGATATTTACGGGTTTTGATGTAAGGGAATAAAGGTCAGTAAAGAAAGTGCATTCCTTTTATAGCCTTTGTGTTGAAAATAAAGGAATAAGCTAGATACTGCAGTCAGTTAATTGTGGATGAGAAAACACACATACAGTTTTAATCAACACTAAGCCTTTCTGGGAGTTTTTAATGGTTGGCCTCTAAGAGACGCTTCTCTCAGGGGGGAGAAGAAACATGAAGAAAAACAAATAATATCTTTATTGCACACACTCGTTTCATTTAAAAGCTCATAAAAAGTATTCTAAAATATCATGGAATATGCTCCCAGAGGAAGGGTGTTGAAATGTTGGTGTTTTTGATGCAATCATATGCGTTTTTAAAAACAAAGAAACAACAACAAAAAAGAGTTGCATGACCTGTCAGTATTTGTATGCTTAAATTTTGTCTTTTTCAGGTTAAACATTAATTTGGATAAACAATAATTCTTCCCTGAAAAGCTAAAAACAGACCTAAAAAATCTGAAGAAAACCTGAGTAGTGATATTTATAACGTTAAGTTGGATTGTAAGGGATTTGTATTTTGTTCTTAGAACTGCTGTAAGACCGACTCATTCATATGTTAAGTCTTGTCTGCAAATTAGGGATGATTCCTTCTTTATTTTGTGTATTCCTTTTGTAAATTTTTTAGGTCAGAGGTCGTGTGTTTATATGTATTTGTGTCTAAGGAGGTCTAGAGATTGCATGCGAAAAAAGTTGTATACAAGTAAGAAGTATTACTTTTTCTGTAGGAAATGTCATGTGGTAATTGTTTGCTTACTTAGATAAAACAACAATCTAAGGATTTTTCCCTTCAAATACTTGTTTACTATAACTAGTGATGTTCCTGCTTTCTCAATTGTTTCCTTTGTAAAGCGTTGCTAGATCAGAGGTGGAACACTGCTCAGAACCTCCGTGAGCCCTTATCTGGGTTGTTGAAATGTGTAGGAAGTGACAACATAACATTTATGCTCAAAATACATCTTTTTTTTTTTTTTTTTCATTTTGCTTATTTCTGAGGGAAAGCTGTTTATGTCGCTGTTGAAGTTTTTATGTAATTACGTTTTCTATCAACTAACAAAATGATGCTGAAAGAAAGGGTGAACAGGTGAATGGACTTACCACATAATTAAGGTAGAACATAGAGGAAGGGTATGTTTAACTTTTCAGCTTGGTTCGAAGAGAAATGGTAAAAGGAGGAAAAGGTATGGAAGAGGCCTAAACAACTAGAGCCGGAAGCTGTGTTATTCCTTTCTTGAGTGCTTAAAGCCTTTTCCGAAACAGAAATGGGAGATAAACAAGAGGTAGCAAGTAGGTAAAGATTGCAGAGAGCCTGGACAGCCAGGAGCTGAGAGAACTGCAAAGGGCAAAAATGGCTCAGAACCAACAGCTATAGGAGCCTATATAGATGAACACATCATAGAAGTTACCCAGAAAAATAATGAAAAATTAGAAGAATGGATTATTCAGCACTTAATTTACATGGACATTTGTTCTTCCCTCCCCATTTTTTGTTTCCATGAGCTAGAAGTCATCTCTTTGGAAGGACTAGCAGAAATGTGTAGCATGAGGGTAATCTGAGGTGATAACACTTTGAAAACCACGAATTCGGAGCGATAGGTTGATTTTACTCATGATTTACGCATCCTTTGTGCTCTGTTGCTAACTGTAATTTGAAGGGCTTCCACAGCTGTCAGTACCAATGACCAGATAAGCTGTTGTTTGTCAGAATGATTGCATCTTATGGTAATTACACATCATTTCAATTGCAGGGGCTTACAAAGTATTTCACAAGCTCTGGAAACCTAGTTCTTTCAGGTATTGTAATTTTTTTTTTTTAAAGAAGGAGATTGCTATCAAAGAGGGTTGATCTATGTAGCAGTCAGGTAAACTGTAGGATCTCTGCTTTATCGGGATGAACTGGATCACTCTTGGTTAATCATTAATGACTTTTACAAGAGGAGCCTTGTTGTTGATCATCTTAAGAATACCATGCAGTTATTGATATTTATACTGCTAATGCAAACACTGAATTAATTTTAAACAGTGTGTTATCAAAGGATGATGACTCAATCCTGGAAAAATATCCCCTCATTACTGGCGCTAGCATTGAGAGGAAATGTTAGTTTCTGTTAGATTTGAAAGCTGCGAGGTTTGTCTGTGTCAGTATCTCCCAGTGGGACACAGTCTCAAAAGTGTTTAACAGCTGGTGAGTTGTTGCGGGCTGTGAATATCTGAATAACTTAAAAACGTGGAGACTTTGCAACAGCTTTGCACACTAGACCTTCAACCATCCAGTAGTTTTCGAAGCAGGTGCATTGTTCACACAACACATTCATGGTGTCTGTAATCTACAATTGTCTGTATAGGGAAGGAAGCGTTGCCATTGCATATTAAGTGTATGTGTGCAACATATGTATAGGATATGAATAAGCTCATTTATTTCAAAACCATTGTCCGTTTTTGTTTAAGGGGTCTAAATTTTGGTTAAGCTCACCATATCTTTACTTTCAATGAGACTCCCATTGGCAGAGTAACAACAGAAATAGTGTGCAAAAGCTGTGTAGGTTAGTATGCTGATTAATGTTATGATATTAATAGTTTGTTTATAATATAATACATATGCTATATAATTATAACGTGTATAATGCAAATATGTTGCAACATTACAGTGTTATAATACTACTTCCTATACTGAGCTATTATATCAAGTGAATGGCATTACTAAAAGAACACTTTTTTTTTTTCCCCCCCCTCTCTTCTCCTCTCCTAGTGAATTGGACCAACAGTACATCAATTATGTATTCAGGTAAAATGAATAAGCCTTTGATACACTATTGTTGCTTTTATGTTGCATATGCCTTCTATTTAACCATGTCTTGTTTAGGAAACTCAGAGCTACCACTACTTAAATGTATTTATTTATCAGGATGTTCATTGGAAGAATATGGCTTAGCAGCTGCATGTTTTTGGCTCCGGTTGTAGGTGGGCGCGCCAATATACACCTGGGGAGGTAACGAGGTGTTAATTACGAATTTTTAATCACCATGTGCACAAGTGATCTATCTTTTCCAGAAATAATATTTACTGAGTAACTCCCTGGCAAAACCTCCACCACAGAAAATCAAACTTAAACTAAATTGCCAGGGGGAGAGGCAGCGACTATAAAAGTACCACGTGCAAAGAACACGAGCAGTAACCGATGGTTGAGAGTGCCGTTAGTGCGATTGAGTAACTCAGACCTTTAGCTGTTTTTCTGATTTGGAGATATAAAACTGGCTTGTTATTTTGTAGCTAGTAAAAGAGCCTGAGTCACAGACCAGAGTCCCCTGGTTGTTTTTTGTTATTGTTTTTGTTTCATTTTGTTGTTTCTGGTTTGTTTGTTGTTTTGTTCAAAAAAAAAAAAATCCTTTCCCCAAAGAGCTCTATAAGCTGGAGCATTCAGTGTTCGTGGCTTCCACTAGATTTTTGTGATGCTTTATTTGAAGTAAGACATAAAGAGACTACTGGATCCTTCTCCATCCACTATCACATCGTCTTGTATATATTGACCTCTTTTCTTAGAATGGTAACTAAAGTTGTAGGAGAATGCTCTGGAGTGTGGAGCTCTAAGGGAGAAAGGTGGTTGAAAGGACTGAAATACATAAATTAGTTGGGGCAGAAGTGGAACACAGAACAGAAGTTAGGAATAAGCACAGCAAAAGTGAAGTTGAACTTGGCCATTTGATTAGATGGATGTGTGCTTTAACCTCATTAAAGATGCCTGACAGGAACATATCAGGGACACTGGTGTGAGATAGTTACTTAACGTAGGTTCCCGTTTATCTTATGAGCATCATCAGCATAACACCATGTATCTCTTCCTATCATAGCCCAATCAGATCTTCTATTGCCATAAAAAAGTAATGCAGGCCACTTGGGGTTTGTATGGTTCCAGTGTCTACTCACCAAGGTCCCATGTGTTGACAGTACCTGAATATCAATTTGCTTGAAGTAGGCTCTTGTTTGAAGTGTTGTTTCCTATTTAGTGTGAAGTGCAAAGCAAATCAATTTTACTGAAGGGAGGTAGTTGTATTTATTGAACTGTTTCGAAGAATGCTTGTCATGGAGCTTGCAAATGTGCTGCTATGTACAGCGTTAATCCACAAAGTCTTGAATGAAGTATAGCTGTATGTTTAATGTTGAAGTATGAAGGAAGAATCAGTAAACAAGTGGTAAATTCAACTTATTACTATTATTTTTAATTTGGCAGCTGCCTCACTGTGGCTCTTGGTTGTCATTTATGTTGAAAACTGCATTTGGGCCTGAACCTTTAAGTTCAGATTTTGGCTGAAGGCCTCGATTTTGCAGCTTTGATTGAGAAGTGAGATCTGTGTTCCATATTATGTTAGCTAATGGTATCCTTTGAAGTCTGTGAAGTTGTGTCCAGCAGAGAGCAGGAGTTGCACATTGCAAGGAAAGGATGATTATGGATACAGAGGATTTTGGAAAGGAGAAGCTTCTCAACTAAGGTACTGTGAAGTACAGTGGTGTGTATTTAGAAACTTAAAATATATATATAAAAAAAAAAAAGGCAGAGAGATTGTGCAAGTTGGGAGGTGGCTTTTTAAGCGTCTCATTAAAAGCAGAACTGTGTTATTAAACCTTGAAAAGATTGTTTTATGATCTAAGGGTCTTAAAGGTCAGCATAGCTTGTGAGATGATGGTGCAAAGCAGTTGCTGGAAAATGGGTGTCTCGTTCTTTGAAAAGAGGAGGTGGAAGACCGGATGCTCATATGTTTGTTTTACATCTCTGAGTATCCGTGTCTCTCTGTCTTTCTGTATATATTTCTGTCTGGTAGAGAGCCTCACAGTTCGTGGCACTTGGGCCTCAACTTGTCTAGGGAAAACAAACAGCACCACGAGCAGTGGAATAAAGGACACCTGGTTTCTTCCGAGTTTGTGTGTTGTCATTACGGCCATCATGTCTGATAGGGTGTGACATTTGGTGGCAGCTCGCTCCTTGTTTGTGACCTTGGTGAGGTGCCACTGAAGTGAAGGCCCTCTGGTGTCTAATGGGGCTGAGAGGCTTTCTGCCACCAGAGGCACTGGCCACAGGATTTGTCCCTTCATGAGACCTATCAGCATGTAGCTACCTCTGAAAGGTCTGCTGTTTTCCAGATAATGGAGGAAGCTGGTCAGCATGTTTGAGAGCCATGTAGGATGGCTGACAGACACACGGTATTGTGGCAAGAACTTAATTTCTGTAGAAAACAGCCAAAAATACTTCAAGTAACACTGAATGGAAAACATTTTACTCTGAACTCTGGATGAGCACAAACTTCTTAGGCCTCTTCTCACACGTAACTAGTGATAGGACAAGAGGGAATGGCCTCAAGTTGTGCCAGGAAGGTTCAGGTTGGACATGAGGAGCCATTTCTCCTCAGAAAGAGCAGCCAGGCACTGGGACGGGTTGCCCAGGGAGGTGGTGGAGTCACCGTCCCTGAGGGTGTTCAAGGAGAGGTTGGGCGTGGTGCTTGGGGACATGGGTTAGTGGGGGCATTGGTGGTAGGGGGATGGTTGGACCAGATGATCTTGGAGGGCTTTTCCAACCTTTGGCTGCGAACACAGCCAAATAGTTTTTATCATCACAGGATCTGCTCAAACTGTTTCTGTCAGTGCAAAACCAAAATCGTGCTCTGTGTGGAGGCACTGCCTGGGTAGAGCAGATTCAAAGCTCTGAACCAAGCAACTGGATGTTATAATGCACCAGGGTGTCAGATTAAAAACACATATATTTAAATTTAAGAAAAAACAACTGTATTGGATGCTTTCAGAGGTGCAGCTGAAATTAGCAGTCTCCTGACATATGCTGTCCTTGTAAGCCCTGTTTCTCATTTCAAAATCTGAAACAGTTTTGTGGGGGAGAACATCTTAAGTTCGAGTGTTAGCAAATGTGTATGGACAGGAATGTCCCAGATCTGAACAAATACTTGTTGGTGATGAAAGTGTGGTGGTATTCTTACTTCATCGCTTCCAGCATGATTTTAGGTTAGATGTTAGGAAGAATTTCTTTACTGAAAGGGTTGTTAGACATTGGAACAGGCTGCCCAGGGAGGTGGTTGAGTCACCATCCCTGGAAGTCTTCAAAAGACGTTTAGATGTAGAACTTAGGGATATGGTTTAGTGGGGACTGTTAGTGTTAGGTCAGAGGTTGGACTCGATGATCTTGAGGTCTCTTCCAACCTAGAGATTCTGTGTGATTCTGTGTGATTCTGTGTGATTATTCAGGGGATTTTTAAAAGGGAGCCTGGCCAGGGACAAATGTAGGGGAAGGAAAGCAGAGCTGTGCTGTGCAGAGAAGGGAGGAATGATGTTGCTTCTTAGTGCCCAGCCCGATCCTCCTCTTCATCCCTTTCCCTTTTGTTGTCCCTCTCATCCTCCAGTCTTGTTCCCAACACCCTCTTTTACCACAATGTTGTATTTCACTGCATTCTGACTCTTGTGCTTCTGATACTTCCTACTTATGCTTTTTTTTTCCTTTTCTTTCTTTTTTCCTCAGTAATCTTGTATTTTCTTTTATTCCTTTCCAGTCACTAACTTTTCACCAAGGCAGGAGCCAGATTTCTCTCGCCAGCCAGCTGGCAAAGGCTAGCGTGAGGCGCAGGGTAGAAATGTCTACCTGGCACGTGGAGGGATGTATAATGTGTCTTAGGAGTGTGTTGCAGCTTGTCTTGGGCTTTCTCCTGTGGTGATGCAGGTAGAGATACGTTACTTCTTGGGGTGAACTATTAGGTGAACACTAGTGGGTACAATTGAAGACCAGAGAAGCAGAAAAACCCTGCATGGGAAACCTGCTGTGGCCTGAGGTCCAGGCTGTCCTTCTGGAACCCCCTGGATCCCTGATTGGCTTTTATAAGTCTTTTCTACTGTCTTTTCTACTGATGTTCTGGTCAGGGCAGTTACAGCACAGCTTTAATGCCATCCAACCCTTGTGCCTGAACCTTCCCCGCACTTTACAAGGATGAAAACAAAACCTTCTCCATGTTTTCCTTGGATTCAGGCCTGGGATGTCTGCTATGGTTATCAATCCCTCTTGGTTGCAGAAGGAAGTTTCTCTTAGAGCATTTCCCTATCTCACTGTTACTTTGTTTTAAAAGTAATAATGCAAAAAGCAAAAGTGGAGAAACACAGGTTAGTCATAATTCATGTTGATAGTTGTACTTCCTGACCCCTGTTGTCTGTCTTATTCAGTCAGTAATGGGTACCTGAGGTTGTTCATTTACAACAAGCAAAATTTTCTAACCATCATGCGTGCTGGGAGCCATTTCCAGCTCTTCCTCTGCCTGAACTTTTCATCATGTGGCCTTCTACTGGCTGGGTTTGTGCTTTACTGCTCTTACTGTGCCCAGTGACCTGTAAGAATCGCTGGTAATTAGCAAGGGAAACTGCCTAGCTTTGCCATTCACAATATTAATGAATGTCTTTTCACCTTCCTAAGTGCAGTGCTTGCTGCTTATCAGGGAAGTGGCCTCTCCAGATACTCTTTTCTCCTTCTCTCTCTTGTCCCTTGTGTTCGACATGGACACATGTTGTTGTCTGTAGGAAGCTCTAGTTCTGTTTTGGAAGACATACTCACTTCTCCTATCCTATAATGCTCTAGAGTATCTTTCTGTAGCCTTTTAAGCGTTGAAACAATGTGAAATAAAAAGTTTTTGGTGAGAAAAAGAAAACAGAAATTTATAAGAAGAATCAACAGTGCTGAAGGAGGCTCTATACAGCCTGCACTACAAACTCGGAGCATGAAGACCATGTAGGATCTCAGAAGTCTTAAGTAATTCTCCAGCAAAAGAACTGGTCACAGCAGATTTTCTTGTTCTCTTGTATCTGTGTATCACTTGGGCTGGTACTTTGTTTTGATTTCATGCATATTTTTTCTTTTTAGAACTTGTTTAATTTCAGCATTTGATCTTTTTGCACGTAACATTTTTGGGCATGAATGTGCAGCGAATGTACAACTGCTTGCATAGGACTGCGTATTTAACTCTCTTCCACAACATATGGACATTTCTGCAAAGCAGACATTTGTGCATGCTGTTTAAATTCATCCTTGGACAGAGGGTCGCTCAAGTCTGTAGTTCCCTACAGATTCTGCTTCAGTGTCACCAGCTGGCTGAACAGCAGCTCTGTTAAAAAGGGAGTAACAGGGAATGCTAAAATCAACCTAGATGATTTATCCAAACTATTTTAAGAAGAAGCAGGTAGTATAATGTGGAACAAAAGTCATAAACTGTAGCTTTGGTGATTTGCAAACTGGACATCAGGAAAAACCTCTTTGTTAGGAGGGTAGAGTGGCCCTGGAACAAGTCACCCAGAGAGGTGTGGAGTATCCATGCTGGCAGATTTTTGAGACTTGGTATTTTCAGGCAGAGCCACACAAGACAGAGGACATGATAAACTATTGGCAATAGCGCTGTTGCAAGTTAGAGGTGGCAACCCTGGAGATTTCTTTCCAGCTACATTTTTCAGTATTATTTTTTATGCCTCATTTACTCTATATAACTGAAATAGTTTTCACCATGAAAAAAAAGCAAAGCTGTCATTTCATAATGTTGGGGCCGCATCATAACTCCTGTAATATATAATTAATCTTTTTTTATTTTTCAGTGTGGTGTTGTTGGCCTCTGCATCCCATCCAGCAGGTAAAGTGGTTTGAGTTGCTTCTTTTTTAGGTTTCTGTAGTGCCTTTCCTTTTCATGAAAGTTTTTAGAGGCTAAACCCTGTGGAAGTTAGCTGTGGAATTCAATTGCAGTATGACTGATGATGTGGTATCTTGTAGGAAGAAGAGAGGAAGGTACCTGACACTGTGTAATTTGTGTTTGATATTTGGTAATATCTTTCTTAACTGCCCTTTGCAAAGAAGCAGCATAGGGCAGCCAACAAACAACAGCTTTTGAGGTAGTACATGGCAAAGAACAAAGGTTCCCTTCCTGAACGTGTCCTCTTGAGAGCAGTGCTCCAGCGCTCCCAATAGATCTGAGCTTCCCTCTCTGTGTTTCCCTCAGTGCTATGCAAAGATTTTAGTTTGTTGTTTTCATGAGATGCAGCCCATCCCTTAACCCTGTGGCAGGATTTGAAGTAGCAAAAAATCAAAGGCTAAAATTGAAGAAACTGAATATTTGATGGTGGAAAATACTGCTCTCGTACAGGTCTTTTAAGAGTTAGAAGGAAAAAGGTGTCTGTCTGTTGCTTTCACTAGAACACTTGCTCAGTCAGAAAAATAAAGCCAAAAACATCTAAGTAAACTTGAATTCCCCCTTTTGACTGGTGGTTTGTATTATGTATATAGCATTTCCCCACCAGGATAGACAGAAATGCTAGGGAAGTAGGCCTGTGTTTCAAAAAGTGAAAGGTGGAGCTGCATCTGCATCTGTAGGACCCAAGGGATGAAGGAGTCCCAGGAATTGTTGCTACTAAGAGCAGCCAGGGCCCAGGTTCCTGGAAATGCAAGTACTTGAGAGCTCTGCCTGCATCTGGGAGAACTCTCTTAAACCTCTCGACTTGTTCTGTGTGACAGAGTTCAAATTCCAGAGGAAGAAGCAGCCAACATGTATCTGTGTTTCCTGTTGCTTCAACAGGAATCATCACAACCTTCTGAGTGGAGTGGATGCGATGGGAACTGTTGTTTCAGCAGGATCAGCTGTATACTGGCAAAGAATATTCTTATATTTTGTATAATCCCTTTCCTCCTTTTCAACCAAAGGCTGAGACTGGCTGGAATCAAGGTCAGGGAGAAATCATTAAGCACACTAGAAATGTGGAAAGCATCACAAATGAAAAGTCAGCCAGCTGTAAAGGCTCAAAGGAATGTTAAACCAGTAATGTTCGTATAATTGCTGTTCCCTGCTTGTAACAGTGGTAATTTTTTTTTCCTGTGTTCCACTGAGTGTATTGCTTTGTCCCTCAGGTGATCTCTTCAGTGCCTTGGACTTTCCATTCCTGTACTTCTACAGATTTCACAGCAGTTGCTGCGCCAGGTAACCTCTCTGTAACAGGGCATGTGAATGTTTTCAAATTACTGTTGAATTCCAGCCTTGGCTCTTGGTTTAAAAAAAATAATAATGGAGCTATTCTAGTTTTTACTGGCATAAGCCAATAAAACTGCAGAGAACATGTGGCAATGCATTTGAAGGCATAAGATTTAGATGTACTGAAGTTTGTGCAAGTGAAGTAAATGTGATTGTTTGAGGGAACCAGGAGAGCTCCCAGTCACCAGCAAAGTAGTTCTTACCTAATGTAGCAAAGCTTTGATAAATAGCATCTCTTAAATGCTTCCCAAGTTGGATTAGCCCTTGTAAAACTTGCTGTTTGCAGAGATTACAAAGTATTAGTCTTCAGCACCGCATGGGTGCACATGGATTTATTTCCTTGTACATCTTGTTACTTGGCAGAATGCTTTTTGGGGGTAAAAGGGAAAAGCTTTAACAAGCATCCCTTTATTTTGAGTAGCAAAAGTTCATTGCCCAGTAATGTAATTCTCACAGGACAACATAAATGTTCACTATAGGTCTTAATTATCTCATGTAATTTATTCCTGTCCTTCCTCTCCAGTCTTTTGCCTAATGGAAGTATTTTCGTTTTAGAGAGGGGAAAAATGTTTTCATGCTAACTGATGGTGCAAATGTTTCCTGATTGTTACGTATTTTCTGATTTGTATCTGGATTCTCTGTTAAAAGGTGTTATTTTAAAATGATTGTTAAATAGTTCCTCTGTAGTTTGTGGTACAAAAGTCATTTTTTTCAAGAGTGGACTGCACGTAATACAAATAAATTGCAGCTAGCTATCAGATAACTTGTTTCTCAATAGCTGGTGAACTCTGTTTCTTCTTGAAGACAAGTGTAACTTCAGGCACTAATGGATATTTAGCTAGCCCAGACATACTTCTTTTTTACTTCAGTATAATTTTACCCCTGTTGTAGCCTCCTGCTTCTGTTTCCATTGCCCCAGCTTCAGCACACATACTAGATAGCACTGTATGCTATACTTTTCTAAAATAATTGGAAAGGAATAGATGGAGAAACAAGTTGCTTACCCACATCTTGTCATCTGGTGTCTTGTAGATGGAAAGGACTTGATGGAAAACCCACACAATTTAAAGGGTAACTGGTGGGGCTAAATGTACCACCTGTGCAGAATGTCAGAAGCATTAGAAGCTAGGCACAAAGTGCTTGATTTATTTAATGAAATAAACTGGTGTCTAATTGTGACGTCAGTATTTCAGGTATGATAATTATCTGTTTCACTTTTTATGCCTGAATTAGATGAAATGCCTTCAAATCACTTTCAACTCAAAGCACTTTTCAGCAGGGCAGAAGGTATGGAACAAACTTTAGCCAGCTACTGAACTTGCAGAAGTTTGGGCAGTGCTGCTTCACTGAACTCACCGACTTCTCAGGGTGGGATGCTCTCCTGCTCAGTTCTTCATCCTCTGCAATGGGCAGCTGAGTTTGGTTCTTTTATCACTAAAGCATCACCTGCTTTCTTGGCTACAGGCACAGCAGGTAGTCCTTTGGGGTCTTGTGTTATGCCAAAGTGTAAGAAATTGTAGCACCTCGTACTCCTCAGCTGTTATCTTACCCTACTGCTTGGTGTATCAAAACCACCTGTGCTAATGTGTGGCTGAGAAATGATTTCCCACATGCCCTGAGCAGGGAACAGCACTTGACTCAGGTGTTGGAGCCCAGCATGGGACTTCTAACCTGGGGAGCCACTGCGGAGGGGCCATCAGCTGCCAAGAACAGCACACCAGCCAAGGAACAAGGCACTTTTTGCCTCACCACGTGTGTGCCCTGTGGATCCTATCTCTTTTCCCATGCAGTTACCCACAGCACTTCATAATGTCCTGTGCCTCATAACCTAGTGATTTGTGCCACGTGTATTTTGAAGTCCTTTTCCACTCCCTGCTTGCTGGCTTGTATTGTTTCACTGTTCACAGCCAGTGGATTTTAAGTATGTTGCAAGTGGAAAAAAAAAATCCAGAGCCAGAGCTTGTCAGCTTTATGAGGTCCAGTGAGATGTGGAACAGTTCCTTCAAGAGTAGCTTTGGCTATGGGATGGGCTATTGTCCTCTATGGCTTAAGAATCAAAATTCACTTAATTTTCAGCACAGAGCTTTGGAGTGTTCTGTTCCTGATGCTATTGAGTTGTCTGTCTGTCTGTTACCTGGTAGAGATGTATTTGACTTTTTGATTGGAATTTAGGCTTCATGAAGCTTAAACAACTTGAAAACTCCAGGCAGAAAGTTTCCAGTGGTTATAGTTCAGCCTCTGTGTGGAGGTTGGAGTGAGTTAGCTGCCAGAAGTGTGGCTTCTGTTGAAATTAGCATTGCCTTTATTCAGAGCTGTTTCAATGCCTCAAGTTAAATATTTGACCTCATGTTTCCAATAATCTCTACTTTTCTGATTATGCAAGTGCATTAGAGACCAACCATAAGACCCTCAGACTTGCTTTACTCAGACTCTAGTCACTGACTGAACAAAACCCCAGATTTGCTGGATATAATGTAAGCCCTTGTCAACCAGCTTGCTTTCTCCAAATAAGATTAACGCTGCTTGAAGGGTGCCTGTTCAGTCCTGTGGTAGAATTGAGATGCTTGTAAGATTCTGCTTAGCTGAAATTAAGACACTTATTAATAAAGTTTTCCCCATCCTTTGCAGCGGGCTGTTGGGATTCCTTCTGATGTTGCACACAGTGAAGCTAAGAAGCAGCACAACCTCAGGGCAATATGCAGCGTGGAGTTTCCTTGCAAAGGTAAGAGGAAAGACCATCCCAGGAGCACAGCAGGTCCATGCGTCTCACAGGAGGACAAAGCAAGTCCTGCATCTCCGCGGTTTCCCTTGCTATTCCCGTTTGACACTCGCAGAGCCTGGCCATGCAACCTGCTCGAAGAGTTTAGGTAACAAATATGGTAAATCAGGATCGTTAGCTAAGGCAAAATGCTGTGTGCAGACTGAGTTCAGTGGAGCTGTGCTGATTACTGCAGCTGAGGATTTGGCCTGCTGATTTCAGGTAGTACAAATCAATACCTACCAAAGCTGTCCTAGAGAAAAATGTGCTTCCTGAGAGCGTGTGCACCAGACATTGTTCCCAGCATGTCCTCCCAGAATCGAGAGATAAAACGATAAAACTTGTTTTGTGAAGATCAATACCAGCCCTCCCAATGCCATCGTCACAGGGCAGATGTTATTTGCGTTGATATTAGCAAGGCTTTTGACAGTATCTGCCGTAATGTTCCTATATCCAAATTAGCCTGGATGGGCACACAATTAGATGGTGTTAGGAAAAAGTTCTGCACTGAGAGGGTGGTTGGGCACTGAACAGATTCCCCCAAGGAAGTGGTCACAGCACCGAGCCTGCTGGAATTCAGGAAGTGTTTGGACAATGTTCTCAGACATATGGTCTGATTTTTGGGTTGTCCTGTGTGGAGCTGGGAATTGGACTTGACAATCCTGTTGAGTCCCTTCCAACTCAGGATATTGTATGGTTTTATGACCAGTCAATAACACTGAAGGACGTGGTTACACTCTGGACCTAGGCAGACTGGAGAAATGGGATGACAAGAGTCTTAAAAAAATGTAGCAAGAACAAATGTGAAGTCCTGCACGTAGGAAGAAAGAGTCCCTGGCAATATTACAGGTTGGGATTGGCTGACTGGGAAGTAGCTCCGTGAGAAAGGATCGAGGGATTTTGGTAGACAGGAAGCTGATCATGAGTCAGCAGTGTGCCCTGGCAGGAAAGAAGACCAAAAGTATCCTGAGTTGTATTAAAAGTAGCATAGGCAGTAAAACAGTGGAAACACTCATCGCCCTCTCCTCACCGCTTGTTAGACCACATCTGGAATGGGGAATCAGAGAATCGTTTAGGTTGGAAAAAAAACTCCCAAGATCATCAAGTCTGACCATCAGCCTGATTGTCAGAGTCCCATCACTAAAAAATGTCCCTTAGTGTCATGTCCCCATGTCTCCTAAATACCTCCAGGGATGGGGATCCCACCACTTCCCTGGGCTGCCTGTTCCGATGCTTGACCACCCTTGCCATGAAGAAATTCGTCCTAATATCAAATCTAAAATCAATCGTCCTAATATCAAATCTTGCAGAGAGTGGTGAGGTCTCCCATCAGCCTTCTCTAAGCTAAACAATCCCAATTCTCTCAGCTGTTCCTCAGAAGTCATATTTTGTAGTCCCTTCACCAGTTTTGTTGCTCTCCTGCCCTGAACGTCGTGTAATTGAGCTCAGCCCATCGATCTACTCTGTCTGGCCTAGAATCTTGTTTTGGGACCCTCAATACAAGGGAGACATTGATAAACTGTAGCGGGCTCAGCAGAGGATCACCAGGATAGTCAGGGGGCTTGGAGCACATGCCCTCTGGGAAGAGGCTGAGGATAATGAAGGTAAGTCAAAATAAGGCAGCAGTAAAGCTGTTACCTTCAACAACAACAAAGTATCCTTGCACAACATGCCTGTTTAGAAGCTGTAGTTAAATTATTATTATTTTTTCTTCTGGTGATAACAAGAAGGCAGTGCTGTGGCTCATTTTTGCTTCGCAAACTGTTTCATGCTGTACAAGTCGTATGGAGTTTCTCACCCGTCTGAATTTCTCCCAAGCGTTCTGGCTGCAGATTTTAGTGCTTTAACTTTCTTCTAGCTCCTTGGTAGCAAGTCAGCTGATCTCAAGCTTGCTCTTGCATTTTTGTTCTCTAATGCTCTGGGCTGGAGATGGGAATAGCTGGCTCTGCTCGTAGGTATTGTGAATAATGAGGAACGGTTCTGCATGTGGTATTTATGACCTATCCCCAAAAAATTCAGGCAAGGATGTGTTGTGAAATATATTTTAAGCAGATTTGGGTGCTTCCCAGCTGAAGCGAATCAGAGCCACAAGGTCTGGAGTGGATCAAAGCTTTCCCAAAGTTCAAGGACTTCTAGATTTGTGGGGGTTTGGCCAGCTCTAGATAGAAATTAGACGAAGGTTTTTCTAGGCGCTGTTGTCAATGAAATTCCGTGCTTTTGTAGCAACTAAAGATTTTAGCTTGTATCACTGATAATTTAATATATTCGTTAGTTTTAAGGGGTCTGTGTGCATGTGTGTGGTTTAATTACTCATCTTGCTTCAGAAGGCTTTTGTAACAGAGCAAATCAGTCCTTTTCCTCCTGTAACTTCTAACCCAGTGCTCAAATTATATGCCCCCTCTTGAATTCAAAGAGGGGAACAAGCAATCAGGACACCAGATCTGTCTGTAGCTAATTTTCCCCAAAGTAGCAATTTCCTAAATGTCTTTCAGTAGTGTTTAAAGCTCATGACAAGAATGTTAAAGCTCACTATGAGATTTTTTTGGGCTCAGTCTGAGGCAGTATTCAGGACGCGGAGGAGCTGCTGCTCTCCGTGCTGAACTGCAACTGATTCTGGAGTAGAAGGCAGTGAATACTTAAAAAAATATATATAAAAAAAAAATCAGAAATACTGTGTGTCAGTTTTAGAACAGGACCAAAAGGGACTGCAAAGGCAGCCCCAGACAGGCAGAAAGCAATGAGCTGAAGGTACCCGCGAAGGCAGGGGCTGATCTACCAGCTCCTGCAAGATCCTCATCAGCTGTTTGGTAATTAACAAAGCACAGAGTTACACGTGGAGTGGTTAGGGAGAATCCTATCTACCTGATCGCTGCTGCTGCTTCCTGCAGGTGTTTGGAAGTGTCATAACTGCACGCTGATCCAACCCAGCACTGCCGAGATCCAAGGAGCTGTCTCAATCACATCATAAGTTGTGAATGGAGGAAAGGTGCAGAAAAGCAGTGTTTAACTAGCCCTGTAAAAATGTGCTTAAACCCAAGTGTGTGACGCCCTTGGGGGGGGGAGGAGGAGGAAGTTAATGTGGATAAAGATTAAAGATAGAAACTATTTGAATCTGGACTTGCAGAATGAAATGAGATCCAGTGGAAAAAAAAAAAAAAAAACAAAAAAAAAACACTCCGGGTAACAACAGTGGCTTTGCGTTCCCACATGAGCATTTTTCTTGTATTGAGTAGTGCCCTAGATCATCCTCTTAATCTCTCGGTCTGACTGGAGTTTTCACCAGCAGTTGGAAAGGAGCAGCTTTGGAGGCCAGAGTATGTTTATCCTGCAAATGAGCCAAGAAAGGAGAATGCTGAAGCCCTCAGACAGCAAGCAGCGCAGGCCTCGAGGGAGGTGCCGAGGATCAGAAAATGTGTTTTCCATTTGGGTGCTTTGTACCTGTGTGACTGATGAGCTGGGGCTGAGATTGCTGCCACCACTTCAGGTCTCGTTAAGTGCCCATACACCAATGAACTAGCCATGAGAGCTGGTTGGGCTCCTTTAAAGATTTGAGGAGACATTCCTTGTGAAGCCCACATATTTGGCCTCCCTGCCCTCTAATTTTTCATTCACTTAAAAGCTGGAGCTGGGTCGTAACTTGTTTTTACGATCCTTGCCTTGGCTCTGGCAACTTAATCGTTGGATGAGGTTTTTGAATTCTTCCCTGTAATGATTTTTGACAGCTTTCTTGTCAAAGCATCGCTCTGTGCATGGACAGACAAAGCACAGGCTTCATCTGTGTCTATGGCCCTGCGTGATATCTGCAGTGACAAACACGCCGTGCTTCTGCTGTGAAAGCAAATAGCCCATGCATTAGTCATATCTGTATAGATTTCCAAGGAATGCCAAGAAAATCGCTAAAGTGATCTGAAAAACAAACAAACAAAAAAAACTTTCAAGAAGCCCAAGAACTATGGAATGCTTTGTCATAGCTTTGCACAGATTTAATCCCCAGAAGGGCAAGGATTTGAAGTTCCACTAAGTTTTCTTGGTTTAATTTGAAAGCTGTGCTGGTATCACGGGTCATGTACTGGAAAGAAAAACTGGAGATGCTCGTATATACAGACAGAAGCAGCTGGTGAGAACGCTAATGAGCTCTAACAGTGCTGTCAGTGAGTTTGTTTATGTTCAGGCTGCCAATCTATATCTGGTGATGAAACCTGCTAGGGACTCCAAAAAGCAGGCAGCAGAAAAACTTGAATCAGGAATAGGAAGGAGCAGCGGCGTTTCAGCACTTTGCTAGAGCGAGATACTGGTTAGTTGTGAATTTATGCTCCCATTTTGTATTTAGTGTTATCCCAGTGAAGCTTGAAGTAGTGAATTCAGCTTATTTCCAACAGGAATCTACTGAGGCACATTTTATAAGGAGGAAGAGTAGAAGGGGAGGGTCAGTGCATGGTGCATTTTGATTTCTTCCTTCCTCCCTCCTCTGACAAAATAACTGAAGTCAAGTTGCGCTGAATTTTACCCTGGTTTTACACGTTAGCTGGAAGAAAACTTCGTTTAATCAGACCAGGAGTATGCAATTCTTTTCTTTATGCCCATCCTATGCCCAATTATGTAATCTCCAGCCTATCTGAATAGTGTTGGAGGCTCCCTGCTCCATAAAAGCATCTCCTGACAGCTGCTTTGGTTCCTTGTTTGTTAACTTTAGAAGTGGTTGCCCCAGGTCACTCTGTGTTTAGTGCTGGCTGCCAGACATTGCAAAAGTACTTTTGGAGAAGCATCTGAAAGAATAACTTAGCCATGGCTCTGATGTAACTAACTGTAGCCCGCTGTACTTACAAACCAGCATTTTAGTTCTCCCCCAAAATACCTAACAGCTCTTCAGAACGTCTCCTGTGGTCTTTGATTTTACATTTTGTGCCTGTCTATCTGCTTCCTAGGTCCCTGTGGTGTCCTGAAGAGAAAGGATAGAGTAGATCCATCTTCATATCAGTGAAAAAAAAATGGATAACACTCCTAGAGATTGGAAAGTACTGATGCTTTTTTTATTAAAGCAGAAAATCTATTTTTTCCTGCTTCTCATAAAACGGAGAGGCCACAATTGTGAATCTTCTGTGTCTCTTAGCCTGGCTGTGCTCACTGCTCCTCTCCACAGATAGCAATTGACATGGGAATTTTACCTACTTTAACTACAGGGGCAAACCAACCAAGAGAAATAAAACAAAATCAACTTTTTCCTTATTGTTATAGTCCTAAATCCTTTCTTACAGCATTTTCTCCTATTTGTATTTCTCTTAATTCCTCCCTTGCACTGCTGCTTAGCATGCAGGTGCTATAAAATACTCTAGTTGAGAATGTCGGCTCCTTGCTTCTGCTGAGGGATATTTCCTTGCAGAAAAAGGTGCCACTGCAAGAGAGTCTTGCCATTGGCACCCGATGTGAAGCAAATGGCTCTCCTTGTGCATCTCTGCCCTGATGGGAGAGGATTCTGGATAAAATATTGTGTTCAAGAGTTTTATATGTATATCATAACCAGAACCAGAATATGTTTGACTGTCTGAACGTGCCCATTTAGTTCTGTTGCAGATTGAAGTAGTCTCTTCTTCGTGTGCTGCTGTATGCAGGCAAACATCTCTAATCTGAGAGAGGGAGTTTCCATGACCCCAATTCTTCTGTGTATGCTAAGAAGTTGTTTTATAAATGTAGAAGTGAGCTTCTTCCACCTACATGCCACATGTACTTTTATGCATGTGGACGTACGCACACATGCATAAACATGATTAAGGATGGTAAAAAATCCTATTAATTTGTGCTCAGCCTTCACTGTATGAAATACATAACTTTATTCTTGTCACATGTATTTGTCAGTCACCATGGGGACTGTAAAATACTCGGAAGAGAAAGGGTGTTTCTCAGCTGAGCCTGATGAGCAGGTAAGGTAATCAGCGTGCTCTTAACTGCATTGTAAAGGTCTGTAAAGCACCCCAGTTGTGGAAACCTGTAAGTGTAGGTTTTCAGGTAGTTCCCATGGATACAGCTTGATAGTTACGTCGTAGCATCCAGCACTAATTACACCATGTAATTGTTGGGAAGAAATCAGTCTCCATAACAACTGCTCTGCGTGCTCCATGACCGCTAAGCGCAGTGGCGCAGGCTCCCTGGGGCACTAATACAATTTAAGGAAGCTGTCCTGTAAAAATAGCTGAGACTTACTGGAGATTTTGCATCTCCAGGCGATGGTAAGCTTTAATACGTATGTTAACAGGTGTTGCATAGGGTTGCATTTGTGTATTCACTACAAAATGGCAGCTGCACAGCTTTTGGGCACGGCCGGGTAAGTACATAAAGTTACGTGGCATGAATTGATAGATTGAGCCCAAAAAAGATGCTCTGAATTAGTTTGTTTTCTTTTATCTGTATCGAGCGTCGATTTAAAGCGCGTTGTGTACATTTGGTATTGTCATCCTCTTGCACATAAAGATAACTGCAGGACTGCTAGCTGGGAGTATGTTTTTCTGAAGCTTTTTTTTCACCCCAGCCCTTGACACACTCCCCTATGTATTTGATAGTAGAAAATGACAATTTAAAAGCAGACTTTGTCTAATCTAATGGAAGTTTGAATTGCGGAGGATGCAGGTTCCTTGGCATAATAGGTTCCTGGTATCCTGTGTTGTTATTTAGTTTCCTGGAGTTACTTGTATATGGAGAGCCGAGGCTGGGAGATGAATCATAAGTGTGACAAAGAGAAGACAAAGGAATAAGGGCTGGTTCAGAAATTGTTTCCATCAGAAATGTACTGATGTAAATAAAAAACTTACATGGGAAAGCCATGCATTATACAACACACTGATGTCGAAGGTTTCAGAGCTATCTCAGTGTAGGCTTCCAAAGATGAGCAGAAAACAGCCTCCTTCCCCTTGCTGGTTCCTGATTCCTTCCAGGATCGGGATCACCGGCTGCCTTTCTGGTTCTTAAAACCCTTCATGAGTGAGGTGTCTCCAGAGGGCCTCACAAACCTTGAGCCTGATCATTGACCTCTCTGATAGGCACTCGGTGCCACGCTCCAGGTTGCTTTCTTCAGAAGCTTCTCATGGTAGCAAAGTGCTGCTATCTGGAATGGGTCTGCCCATCTCCTTCCCTCCCTTCCCCAGCTCTGACCCAATCCTTGCAAAATCTCAGGTGTGTTCATCTCTCCGTCCCTCTCTGGATGCTTTCTGAAGGATTAGGTTGTGACTTCTGACAAAAGTCAGCAAACAGCCACAGGGCTCTGGGGGAGGCAGACTGAAGGGTTTATGTCCCCTGTTTTATATCCTATCCTAAAATACCTGGTGCTCAGGGAAATTACCTAAGCTTCAGATGGTCTCAAGAGATGACCACCACCTATTCCTGTCCTATCCATGGCTAGCATGGAAAGGAAGAGGGCAGAGTTCAGCTTTCTCTGTGTACATTTCTGTGAATGGTTTTCCAAAGAGGGCAGGAGGCAACAGGTTGTCTTGGCTGCTGCTTCCTCCCCTGTTCGAAGTGAATGGGAGCCCACAGACTGTAGTCACTTCGGCCACTCTCTTCTCACACGTGGGACACTCACATGCTGCTGACACCCACAGAACCAAGTGCATAACCTCGTGACATTGTTCATAAAAGGCATTACTCAAAATGGGTTAGCTGTGAGCACATTTAAAAACATTTTTCCAAGTATTGCTTTTTTTTTAAGGTTTCTGATGGAATATTTTGACCTTTTGTAACAGCGAATGGTTAGAAAGCCTTGGAAAGGCTTTTGTTTTTGAATGGAAAATTAAAACCGTGAAGAATACCAATTCTTTGCAATCCTTAGCATAACAATAATAACAGCATGTTGATTTCTTTCCATTACATCACTGCTAAAACAGCATAAACACACCAGAAAATGGGAAGGCAGAGACTGTGACTGTTGTTGGATTGTACAGAAAGGGGTCAGCAGGAAGATTTAGTTATCTAGTCTGGGAATTGTTTGCTTATAAATTAGGTTTTCCCAAAGGAGCCGTGAGATGGGAAATACAATAGGAAGTGGACTTCGTACATGCACAGAAATCCCAAAACTGTGCGTGTTGTGGGGGAGAGAGGTTGATGGAAACTTGCTATTTTTGCTAACAGATTAAAAAAGTTTCCTATGCTATTTTTGATACTAGTGATATCCCTACAGAGCTCTGAGTTAGTCACGACAGAAAATTGTTTCACGTCTGATAATATTGACAGGGATCATAAACACTTCAGGTGTTTCTTTGGATTATATAAGAATGGAAAAAGCAATATAGTGCCCTTTTCACACCTAAAATAGTCCCCTTAAATTAGATGTCCTCACTGACTGTCAGTATCCTTGACTGCCTTTCAGCAGCCTTGTGCTAGCCATCCAGCAGCAAAGCAGCATGCGTGGGGTTCACCTCCAGCAATAACACTCAGGGGCACGGGTAAGCTTCACGAAATCCATAAAATCTCCCAGGTGTTGAACTGGCAGTGGCTTCGGGGTTGCAATTTTCAGCCCGAGCCCCTCAGACGATATAAAATGGCAAGAGCAGTCCCCGAGCGTGTGCCCTGCATCTGCTCAGCCTTGGCACAGTGGGTCAGGAGACATCAGGGGCATTCAAACCAGCTGTGGACTGAGTGCCCACCTGACTTTTGGGGAGGCATTCAGTTCTTTGCATGCCTGGAAACATGCTGATATAGCCTGTAATTTATCTTTGGCTCTGTTTTCTCCAAGAAGCTCAGGTTAATTTTCCTCTTTTTCGTGGATCCAAGCTGCTAAGAAACTTAATCACTAAAACCAACTTTTTTTTTTTCCTTCTGGATGCCGGCTGAGCCACTGCTGCAGGAGGTCATGGCTCAGGAATTGCCTCGTCTCCCACCTTCCCTCCAAGATCCTGATACTGCAAGGTGGGCTGTTATGGTAAAAGATCCTGCCAGGTCTGGCTGCTGGCCCATCCGCTAGATCCCAGCGTTTGGGAGGAAGACAGACACAGGCAGATGCTGAGCTCGGTTCTTCACGAGCAGCCAACTCCTTTTGTGCCAGATATAGATAGCAAACTGTCAGCTTGCCTGTTAGATTTGCTTCTTTAGTCTGACAATGAAAAAGAGGGTCTTCTTGCCTGGGTTATTGGCCTTCTCCATCTCTTTATACTAACCTCTATTTCGTAATCTCGTAAGGGTTAGATGAGGTAAAGAGGAACTTGGAAAGCCAAAAGGCTATTGCTGAGCTTAATGTAAGATGAAGTGCATTTTATTGCAGTATTTTACAGTGGCAGAGCGTTGAAGGAGCTGGCCGTTCCCCAGAAATGAAAAGCAATACTTCTCAAATCAGGCAACAGAAATACTTCTTCAGCAAGTTGTGCCATATTACTAACCAATACAATTCAAGGAAAAAAAAAAAAACAAACACAATTTGTTTTTTTTACAGGTTCAGATATGCTCAGATGGTTTCAGTGGCGTGGTCCCTGGTGTTTTTTCAGCATAAGAGAACATTGTTTGCAAATCTTTGCAGTACAGAAGTGAAATAATAAGTGAAATAAACTGTGTGCCAAGGGGTGTAAGTCTTCTATAAGCTAAGGTCGATGTGCAGATCCCTCCTTTCCTCTGATGTGCACATCAGCTGCAGACTTGCTGCATTAGGGAAGGATTATAAATCCTCCTGATGCCTCTGACATCAACCAGTGCTTGATGAAACAAACCCTTGGTTCGCTGGCTCACTCCAGCTGGTGTTTGGGATCTTAATAGGTAGAACACTTCCCTGCTGCTGTCGTTGCTGTTGATAAATGCTTGCTCCATTACACAAATATTTAATAATTCATATAATAAGAACAAGATGATTATGAAACCTTGTCCTGCCAGCTTCTGAGCTCAGAGGTTTCAAGGGAGAGATGAAGTGGCAGGAGCAGTTTAAGGCCATTGCAGTAGTGGGACAGAAGGTAAGGAAAAGAGACTTGCTGAAAACAGGCTGAAATAAGAGAGGAGAAGTACAGTTCAGCATTTCAATGCATGAAGCTTTTACAGGAAGCAGGTGGGGTTGGGACTTAATATCACCTAGAAATACAAATATGTTTAATCTATTGCATCTACACATGCATCAGCAGTCAATCTTGTAACAGCAAGAATGGACAAAGTGCTTCTCATCAAAGTCAAAGACAATCAGGTATTTGGTCTAATTAGGCCTTTTCTTATCCCTTATCAAATGACCTTCGTTGTCCTTCTTTGAGAAGGCTTCGGCTGCTGCCTGGATTGTGCCTCTCATGCAGAACCTAGCAAAACAGATGCTGTTAGTCTGGGTCACAGACAGCCACCTGTTTGAGTCGTGATTGATAGCGATTTCCTATCAGCGAGGTGTGCTTCAGGAAGAACGTGGCTGAATTGTGCATCATTTCCCCTTTTTCTCCTCAATACAGGTGAATACTGAGAGAGAGATCAGTATCTGGATTACGTTTTCAGTGGTCACATTTAGGAGAAATATTTAAGTAAAAATGGAGTGCTGTACCACAACCATTCTTCACTTCATAGGCTGGAAGTTGATGGCATGTCACCAGCTACCTTATTAGTCACAGGAAGGGGAAATATGTAAGTTTGTGTCATTGCATCCAGTAGCAGAAGGCACGTGCTTCTTGGTTTTGATTTCTCTTTATAGGGACAGAAATCTGATGTTTGTGTTTGAGTGACAAAAGTAGGCTGGAGTAGCTACTCGATGTCCAGAAAGAAACAGCTACCACAATCATCAACCAAATCTAATATTCTACAGAGATGTTTTTATTAAGTCTCGGGATACCTTTCACACCTTTTAGGCATTCAAAACGAGTTTGGATGTACCTGTAATTGTCTGGTCATACCTCATCAGTGATGCAGGTTGGTACGTTTCTATGCTATATGCAGTACGTATGGGTTTGTGTGGCTGAGAGCAGCAGGACAGGTGCCACATACCCCTGAAGTGATGGCAGAGGGGGATGTCTAGAAGTGATTTGGAGGCAAGATACAGATGGAGGCTTTTCTGAGCCCTTTCTGCGTTGTAGGATGGGGGTGGGCATACAGCTGGCTTCCAGGATGGCCTGCCTGGTAATGACAGCTTCAGCATCCCCCGATGGCTCATTTTCTCCCACAGCCAAACTGCTAATGAGATGCACATAGTGCAGGAACAATGGCTTGGCCACCTTCGTCTCATAAGGAATAAAAAAAATAAAAATGAAGTTAGACAACAATTTTGCAGTTGATGTTCTGGGTTAAAATATGATGCAGATGTTGTTCTGGGTTAAAAATAATGTATCATATTAATCTGATTTTATATTAGTCCTGGACAATGTATTAATATAAGAGGACAGGATGCTGAATGACTTTAAGGGACCTGATTGATCCACCTATTGCTTCAGATTTTGCACATGTAGGATCAGGGTCTCGTCTGTCTTGATCATCACAGCCTGGAAACAAAAAGTACAAACAAAAAATGGCACTGAGAAAAATCTTCTTAAATGCGATAGAAAGCAGAGGCTGTGTACCTACTTCCCTAAGTACTGGAACTGCATACATACAGGGGTGGAGATGCAGAGGTTTCTCAGCCCTCTAAAATCATACTAGATGCAATTAAGAAATCTGTTTTCTCAAAGCAGTTGGAAAGCTAATATGTGAAGATACTCCTCTGTGAGACAGAGACTGCTCTTTTGGCTGTTGGTTAAAGAAAAAAAATAAAAAATATCTGATGATTCTGCTAGACAGAACATTTATACTGCTTCTGTTCTGGAAACATTTTAGATGGCAGGCTTCTGATTTTGTTGTTTAATCTACTCTCCCCCTGTTTTTAGTATGTTTCATGTTTTGAATGCAACATGTAGGTGGTTTTAAGCTGGTGAGAAGTTAATCGCTATGAAAGTCAAATAGATTAATTACGCCAGAACTGAATTTTATCTTTCCCATTAAGTGTGCGAATGCCAGGGCGTGTTTAAGCACTGGCTGCATTTGAGTCACAATAATGGGAGCTAACCGTGCCCTCTTGAACTGTGTTCAAAATTGATTTTGCCATTATTATTTTAACAACGCTCAAAAAAATAGAAGTACAGCACAGAGGAAGAGCAGAGCAGAGTGACCAAATCCCCTTCGAGGAACACGTACTTCAGGGAAGGTGGACATCTGCGCAGGCGTTTAGGCAGACATGAAGCAAAGGATCTTAAAGAAATCTGCTGCAGCTGGTAAGACTTCTGTGTGGCCAGATCCACGCTTTGTGGATTGTGAAATTGATGTCACCACGGTGCCAGCATCACCAGACCGTCCTTCAACAACCTGTTCAGGGTGTGTGTCAGGAAGGGTTAAAGGGTTTTCTTGCTTCTCCTCCTGACACAGCTTCAGGAGAGCTGAGCAGAATCCACCTTCTATGAGCAAATTTCACCTCTGGATGCTGTGATGTTCAAATTCATCGTGATGTCTGCTGAATCCATGCTGTGGTGTGTGCTGGAAAGGTGGCTGTGGCAGCCTCCTGTGAAGTCCATCAGGGAACAAAAGCCCTTAGGGTACGTCTGCGCTTTGGTCAGACTGAGGGTAATGCAGCAGGCATGCTCAAGTTAGCTTTAAACTAATGAGCAGAACCAACAGCAAAACCTGCTTTGTTTTTCCCCCTTTTCCACTTTGAGTGGTTTCTTCCCTTGTTTGGGCTGCTCAGCTGTTCAGGCAGGATTATGGCATTGCCATTTCCTTTTGGAAGGGACAGTATTTTGGTGCTTCGAGGCCAGAGATTCATTATTTTTCCTTGCAGAAAGCTGCTTAAAATTGTTCCTTGTGTGTGAAACTATGAGCACTGCTCCTTCAAAGGGGCTGTGTTATCACCTGGAGCTGTTGGGTTAAGCAGCATGTTTTGTCTTTCCTTTTCATTGGTGACAACAGACCCTCAGAACAAAGTTTAAAATCTCTCTCAGGTCTTTTCAACGTGTTGGTAGATACAGGAGGCTTTACAGGAGAGTTGGTTGGAGGAGCTCTGCCCTCTTTTACTTTATTTCTTTTAACCAGAGATGGACTTGGGCGCCTTAAAGATGGTTTACAAGGACGCTGAGCTTCTATAAAAGATACTTCTTGTAATAGGCAACATGCTCAAAAGCTTCTGGGGAAATTCTTATTTCTATGGTAGATCACCCCCAAAGTGACCTGAAATTAAACAGTTCATGCAAGTTTGATTTTGGTCTGGTTCTGCTTGCAGGATTTCTTCATGTAGTCTGCAGTCCTGGGGAGATCTTCTATGCACAGTACCTACGGCTGTTAATGGTGCTTTATTTTGAGTGTTAACCACTGGAGTAAAAAAGTGTATTTATTTATTTCTCTGTGATTTTTTTTTTTGTATTTGATTTCTTTCCCCTGCTTTATTCACAATTAATGCAGATGTTCCTGACTTCAGTTCTTCTCCCACCCTATCTTGCAAGGAAAGGTGTGTACCATGGTCGTCAGCTGATAGAAACGGCTTCTACTCCAGCTGAAATGAAAAACGTGTGTAAACGAGGAGGAATGGTGTTAATAATAGCTCAGGAAACGTGAATTATTGAATATAGACGATAACATAAGATTAACTGTTCCTTTTTTCCTGTTCTGAGGATATTTTTTGCTAGATCTCCCTACCTCGCAGAGCATTTCATGTGTGTGCATATGTACACACGCTTACTGCCAAGTAGATGTGTATACAAAAGAGATGTAACAATAACATTCGATAAATTATTTCAGTGGCTGTCCCTCGAGAAAGAAAAGAATGTGTTGTTACAGCTTCTTGCCCACTGTAATTTTTGCCTTTTTCATGTTAATGTATTATCTTGATGTAGCTGCTTTCAGCAGCACTAATAGCGATCCATTTCCCTGGCGATTTTTGACAATTATCTTAGCAGCTGGTTAAAACATGCAGAAGAGGGGCAAAACAAATATTATGTCTATAAAAAGCTCGGCATTGCTTTAATTCCACCAGCAGAATGAAAACAAAGGTTACGTACATCAGAAGCCTTTTCCTGCTGTTTTGAGAAGATGACCTGATGATAAATTGGAAGATTTATTTTGAACAGTGAGTGAACTTGATGAGCCATTTCCAAACACTGTCTTTTGGAAGAAAATATGCGTTTTTGTAAGGACAGAGGTTTTGGCAGTTTGGAGAAGCGAGGTTACGAGGATTGGCTGTGTGTACACAAAGTCAGGAAAACTTTTATAAAGCATTCTGCGTTCGCTTGCAGCAAGCACTGTGTGACATTTAACTTTGCAGTTTAGCCCTGAATCAGAGGAAACGTACTTTTTATGTGGTATGTACGGATACAGTTGTACTATTAACAAATCGCGTTCGTGTCTGGACTAAATCCCCCGTATCTTTCAATTCCAGATAGGAAGATTAAATCAGAACTTAAATTCCAAAAATGGCCTCGTCTGTGTTCTCGGCTACATAAACAACATGTTCCTGAACACCTCAGAAATGTTAGATACTCCAAACCCAGAGCCAGCTTTTGCAGCTCGAAAATCTTTCGCTAAGGTACTTGTGAGGTCAGGGATGGAAGGGATCAGTGATTGCTCGCTCAGGAATGACACGTTTGTCTAGCCAGGACTGCCTGGGCTGACCTGGTCAAGGATTGACACCGTGCAGGCTGTGAGACAGTCACGGCTGCTTGGTGGAGAATGAGAGGCAGCAAAGGATGCGTAGTCCCACATTGCTGTATCTCTCAGGATCCAGGTGTCTGCTTCATCAAGAGCCAGGCACCTTTAGAATGCCATTGTCATCTCCTGTCTTTAAGCCACGTGTCAGCCTTAGCAGAATTTCCTTATGTTTGGTGGTCAAGAAGTAGGTATAACTGGGAAGCTGGACCAGCTGTAATCTTGCTGTTCTTAAGGTTCCTCAGCAAAGAATTATACAGCATATGTATTTTGTGTTGTTACCTATAGAACTGTTTTCTGTCTTTTTATTTCTAAAAATAAATGATTTCTAAATGATTTTTTTTTCCTAAGTTTTTCAAACAACTTTTAGTAAACAAATTTTGCTTTCTCTTCTGAACACGTTTTGTCATCTGACTGTAAAGTGATCAGGAGAAAGGAGGGGGTCATTCACATCAGGAATTGTGTCACAGCCTGTCGAAGTTCTTTGGGAGCTTTAAGTTTGTGGTAACGGTGCTTCCGTGCGTTCATAAAACACTTCAGCAGATTCACAAATGCAGGTGCTGAGAGCACGTTCTTTCCAGTGCCTCCTCCTTGCCTGTGGAAGGTTGACTTTTGCATGTTGGATGTGCTCCTGCTGTGCACCAAGTTCTTCCACGTATTAGGGTATTTGGGCTCTATGCACCTTACACTGGTACCGAGCACTTTGATGATGCCATTGGTCTTGTTGCCTCCAGTGTCCTTCGCAAGGCTGCAGTTATTGCCTTCAGTGCTGATAGATTTTGTGAAGAACTGGAACTGTTTCTGATGGAGACAGCAAATGTACTCTGCCATACCCAAATTTTTGTTTACTTCCAAAATTACTTGTAAATGAATCAGCGGTTGGAACTACAGAAATAATTGAGATGAAGGTAAATAGGTGTTAATCGAATGTTCCCTTCAATGCATGTTGTTTCCACGGAACAGCAGAGTGACGTGGTAAATTTAATATGGTTTATTTTAAGAAACAACCCCCCTCCCCTTTTTTTTTTTTTTCCTTTTTTGTTTTCTTTTTGAGCAAGGAAGGTTTTGAAATGGTTTCTTAAGAACAACTCCAGCTCACATGGAAATGTTTTGTTAGATGATGCTGCACTCAGATTTTTTTCCTAAGCGCCGAAAGCTGTGTCAGAATTTTGTACAAATGTTTGCAGTATAAATGCTTTTAAAATGGCTTTTGCATGGTCACAGTTTCTACAAGCACGTCGGTAGCCGGAGTTCATGGAAACTATTCCTGTGTCTAAAATTGTTGAGGTTGAACCATACGGTCTGTCTGTATCATTAGGTACAATTAGTGTCCATATCATTAGGTGGAATTTGGACTGTACGTCAGAATCTTGGGGGCCTTTGCTTTAAACAGGCTGGCTATGCCTAATGAAAATTTTCCTTTCCATCTCCTACTTCTAAGGATTCAGCAGATAGATTTGGAAATTGCTAATTTAATTTGCCCTTTACTTGGTTTCCTTTGTCTTGCAAGCTCGTTCCTTTTCCTAAGGCATCTCAGTGCCTAGGAGGACAACCGTGACCTTTAAAGTGAAGAAAGACATTACCACACTTTGCCTGATTTTTATTCTAAAGGACATTCAGGACATCAACGTAGGTGTATTTTCTTTTTTTAACTAAGTACACGTGCACTCAAAACACTTCAGGAAATGCTGAAGTGCAGTAAAAGGAAAATAATCTTCTGAACTTTATGTCTAGATGTCAGAGCCTTCCCCTGGAACAAATGATAGGGTTAGCTTCTCCTTTCCACATTACACAAACAATCAAAGGTGGACATTTTTAGCAGCGTGTTTTCCTTTTGTTTTGCTTCTTTTTTTTTTTTTCTTGCCCATGCTTATTTCATGTGCTATTCCAGCCCACATTTTGTTTCTCTTTGGCACTGAGGCACTCTTACATAATTTTTCAGAAATACAGGGGTGTTCGGCAGCAAGTCCAAAAGGCTACAGCCTGCAGTAGCATTTTTGCAGAGTTTTGGGATGATCGCAGTAGAATGGGGTATTGTTTTCGATTAGGCCTGTGCTCACTGGGTTCTTCAATGC